TTTTTGCCACAATTATAAACAAGTATGTCATGTTTTCTTAGTTTTGTTTATTTTATATAATTGATGTATGGCACTTTAACACTCAAGTTCTGCATTTATTTTTCTTTTCTTCCTGATGCTGACACTGGGGAAAATCAGCTTGTAGGAAGAGTATGCTAAATGCTTGTTATTTTAAATTTTTAATTACACTGTGACTCATCTCTCTCTCATATACTTTGAAGATATAAAGCTGCAATGGTTGAAGATGTCCCTCGCATATTTGAGGCTGTTTTCCAATGCACACTAGAGGTAATTGTATAGGTCATTTGGCTAGTATGTGAATGCTCTTAGTTGACGATCATTTGGCAATGATCCTTTTGTTGACTCTTAGCTTTGCCGCCCAGCACTCCCTTTTGTTTTCAATGATTCACTTTTACCAATTTACAATAAAATGTTGTGACCTCTTATTTTTAGAATGTAGACTAACTCTTGTTTTTGTTAATGGAATTTAAATTTTCGGTTCTGTTTCTGATTCATTGTCAAAGTTATTTGCTATCAATTGTGATAGTGTATTATTATTGGAATTTGCAACTAAAAATCAATTGAATTGTATTTATTCTTTTGCCAGATGATTACAAAAAATTTTGAAGATTACCCGGAGCATCGGTTAAAGTTCTTCTCTTTACTGCGAGCCATAGCTACTCATTGTTTCCCTGCATTAATCTGCTTGTCAAGTCAGGTTGCATTTCTCACTACCTCTCCAGTCTCTGCCCACACTAAACCAATAGCATGGCAATTTATTTGATTTTATCTGATGTTGACTATGGCTATTCTTCAAAATGTTTAGTTTTTGGTATTCTGTGCGTGATGTTTTCTGTAATCAATTTCAGCAACTGAAGCTTGTTATGGATTCCATCATATGGGCATTTCGGCATACAGAAAGAAATATTGCTGAAACTGGGTTGAACCTATTGTTGGAGATGCTGAAGAAGTTTCAGGTGTGGGACTGTGGACTTTGTATATTATCCTCCCCATAATTTTCCCTCATTTACCTCCTAACAGAATTTTTGTTGGTCTAATGTCTATTTGTGTATATTAAACAGGCCTCAGAGTTCTGTAATCAGTTTTATCGAACATACTTTTTGACAATTGAGCAAGAGATATTTGCTGTCTTGACAGACACTTTTCATAAGCCCGGGTTCAAATTACATGTTTTGGTGCTTCAGCATTTGTTCTGTCTGGTATAATTTCAAAATCATGCCTTTATTTTTGTTTTAATATGAAGAAATTTCTATACTAAAATGTGGCATTTTCCAGGCAGAAACTGGTGCCCTAACTGAGCCTCTTTGGGATGCTGCTACAAATCCTTATCCATACCCAAGTAATGCAGCTTTTGTACGTGAGTTCACAATAAAACTTTTAAGCACTTCATTTCCCAACATGACTGCTTCAGAGGTAATAGCGGAGAAACAACTAACATATGACCTCCTCAGCCTGAATAGATGACTAATTTCAAGAAATTTGCAGGTTACACAATTTGTTAATGGACTCTTTGAGTCCACAAATGACCTCTCCACATTTAAAACTCACATAAGAGATTTTCTTGTACAGTCAAAAGAATTTTCAGCTCAGGTAATGCTAATGTAGTGTGCTGTTTCTTTTACCTGCATTGGCCAATATAATAATTTGGGAAGTTTGAACTTGTGCCCATAAACTATGGACTACTGCATTGTGTTTCTGCTAACCTTGGTATATATAATTATTTAAATAAATAATTTCTTCAAGCCTTCAGGTAAATATGTTCTTGAATTTTTTCCTGTAGGAAAAAAAAAACCTTTTAGAACCTTGTGCCAGTTTGGCTTTTCTGTGAAATATTTGGCTTTTTGACAAACACTTGCTATGAAAAACTTCTTTGATGCTTTTCTTGCTTCTCGCATAAAAGCATTGATATACCTTGGCCAAATAACCCAAGAAACTAACAAAACTCTTTTTTCAAAAAGTAGCTCGATTTGATTCCAGAAGCCTGGCTTGTGGTATTCAAATTCTAGAATCAATCTTATTTATTCATGAATGATGTTTTATGACTTTTTGAAGTATTCACCAATTAAAATTCCTTGACATAGCTGCCGGTTATTTTGGATTTCTTCACTTTGTAGATTATTTGACAATACAGAGTGGCATGCATTGGAACGTATATTTTTACTGTAATTAAGCATATGAAGTTCGTTAATTGTTCAACTGCAGGATAACAAAGATCTATATGCTGAAGAGGCTGCAGCTCAAAGAGAGAGAGAACGCCAAAGAATGCTTTCTATTCCAGGGCTTATTGCCCCAAGCGAGTTGCAAGATGAAATGGTGGACTCATAGATAATATAGGTTAAACAATGCAAGAGTTAATACTAAGGGCATAGTGTCTTGTGTCACAGGCGCCTTGATTCAATCAAATACTAGACGCTTTGAGAAGACATGCAGCATTTTCCTCTTTTTTAGTTTTCCTGCTCATCCCAATATTTCATGTTGGGACTGGTTTGGCATAGGTTAATGATTTTCAGAGGTTTGGCTGGCTGGCGATACTGCCTTGGCTATTGGGTGAGTGTAGATTATTCAGTTGCTAATTTAGGATGATAATATAGTCATTTGTAAGAGGATTCATCAAGGCAATCACAGGATGGATGACTCAATTCCATTATTGATGACTCCCTAGGTGTGACCTAACCTCTGGCGGTTTGTGCAGAAAACCCTCGTGGTTTGATATTGTATTTTTTTCACCAATTAATTTTAGGGGAATTGATGTGCCATGATTGCATTTAATATATGGTTTTCATGGTAATAGTGTTTTAGCTCACGTGTATTCCTCCCAGTCGAAAGATTTTTTAATTTTACCGCCAATGTTCTGCTTTCCAGCAAATATTTCCTTAAGTATTTTGTACTTTGTTTAAGCAAAGAGGAAATCTATTGCTGATATAGAGTAGTTTAATGTAAAGCTGTTTGGGCATGTTAGTAGTGTTTAGTGAAAGCGGGTAAATTATGTGGGGTAAACGGACGATAAGAATTGTCGAGGACAAGGTTTAGCATGTAGATGAGGAATTTATTTGTACAACTATTACCCCTTTGGTGGTCGATGCTTCGGGGGTTGCTGTGCAGCTTATTGCCAATCGTTGCCACCTTCTCACCCTCGTAAACAATTTGTTCACTCCATTCACTTAATTTATATTGAAGAATTAGGGAATCATGATTGCATGGTATAATAAAATTTATGAAATTTCTTTTTAACGGGCCAACTAAATGATTCTGAATAGGATAAAGATGATTTACAAGCACCTTATTGATGATGTTGTCAGTCACATTGCATAAGCTTGTTGGTTTAAAATCCCTAAAAGAATTAAGATTGTACACTTTTGGGTTAAGAATTGGGAATTTGGGCTATTTAACTTACTTTGATGCAGGTTGGATTTAAAGTGTTTGTGGAACGTAAAGAGAAAGTGTTTAAATCTGGCTACTTCATGTAAAGTCTACATTTTTTCTCTCCCAATTTCCATCTCAATGTATTTGAACTTTTACAACGATAACTCAATTTTAGTTTTTATGTGCATAAGGAGTTTATGCTAATTTGATGTGTTTTACAATTCATCCTGTTAAGTGTTATTGCATAATAACTCAATTTTTGTTTTATTATGATTTCAATCAATGGTTTGTTACACACGTCTTATTCTAACATGTTCATGAGAATGTTTTTGACAATATAGAAAAGAATATAATTAAAGTGCAAGGAACTTAAACTTGCTTGTTATGCTTTAAATGAGCTACAATAAAAAAATAAATTTATTTTAAATTTTAACAAATATATTTGTACTAACTCAATGGGCTTAAATGTGTTATACATTTCGTTAGAAATTAGTTAAAAGTTATTTGAATTAGTAATTAAAAATAATTAATTGACTTCAAGATAGTGAGAATCTCTTTTTTAATAACACATTTAGTGAAATGCATAGCATTTGAAATAATAACAAGCATTTTATACATGGACAAATATCTTGTTAAAATCATTCTTGTCTCATAAAACTTTTTACTATGATATAATGTCGTAGTACCATTTATTTTATAATTTATAAATTGTGCGAAGACTTTATTTGGTTAAAACGATGAAAAGATTTACTTTTAAAAATAAAAATGATTTGTTTAACATTTTCACTATGTTTAAAAGATGATAAATAAGGAGGGCATCAGAGAAGTGAGGATGAAATTCAATATTTTCTTAATTGAATGAATTGAAAAAGGTGAAGAGAAGAAAATAAAGGTTAGTAGGTCTTAGTAACAGGAAATGGGAGGAATTGAGTTTTTTTTTTTTCTTCATGTTTTCGAAAGATCAATAAATATTAATAATATTAAAAGAATAAAACCTTATAGTATAGTATTATTATTACAAATAAATCTTTCGTGAGATGTTAATTAATACCGATAACAAATAAAAATTATCTTACATATATAGATAAATTGCCTTCAAACTCAGTAAAAACTAATTAGGTAAAATATGTATTTTTATTTTAAATGCAATATTTGTTTTTTTTTTATTTCATTCGTAAAATATTTTTTTAAATTTAGTAACGTAGATATTATTATTGTAGTTATTATTATTATTATTATTATTATTATTGTGTAATGTATATGTTAAATTAAAAATTAATATTATTTGCGATCTTCAAATGCGAAACTTCCTCTTAATTTAGTTTCTATATTTTTACAGTAATTTTATCATTATATAACAATTATAAATAACAAAAGCGAACATTAAAAGTAATTATTCATGTAAGAAATAAATTCAAAATGAATGATATAATACCGAAAATTAGATTTAAGAAAAAAAGTGTACTATTACGTTTTGTTTCAAAGTTCAGACTTTGAATTTGCTGTTTCTTCTTACACAGAAAGAAAGTTCTTGGAATGAAGAAAGCAAGAGGCAAAGCTACCCCTTTCCGTTGTGTATAAGTAATGATCAATTGTTCAAATTGAATCTCTCTCTGTTTCTCTATTTCTCATTCCCAGCACAGATTGCTAAATCGAAAATTCCGAGTGATTTATCAGATTCTGATAGTCAAAGCTGAGAGAGATGGGTCAAGCTTTTCGGAAGCTCTTCGACACCTTCTTTGGCAACTCTGAGATGAGGGTACCCTTTCTCTGCACTTGTTCAGTTCATTTCTACATCTTACTCATTTGTTTCCCTGATCTGCTTTAGGTTGTGATGCTTGGTCTTGATGCTGCTGGCAAAACCACTATCCTTTACAAGCTCCACATTGGAGAAGTTTTATCCACTGTTCCTACAATTGGTGGGTCCCTCTTTGTCTATAATTAACTGGCAAAATATAGGAAATTTTTTCTTGGTTTGTTCATCTATGTGTTAAGACTAATTGAATTATTCTCTATTTGATAGCCAAAGGATGTTAAGGCTGTGTTATCCTTCATGGTTTTTGTTTCTTTGATTACATAAATGGGGGTAAAAATATGAGTTGAATCGGCACAAATATATATGGCAATCTTGTTTCGAGTTTCAACTAATCTAGCAGTACAAAAGTTAGAATTGGATATAAGTGAATAGTGGTTGATTCTTTTATGGCATGGGGTAAAAGCCACAAGACTAGTGTGTGCTAGAATAGCTATGAGCTTTCGAATTTTGAAAGAGTTTTGCTGGAATTGGCTATGAAAGAACCTTTTATTATTATTATTACTATTTTTATTATTATTATTATTATTATTATCATCATCATCATCATCATCAATGGCAGCATGATTATAATTACGCTGTCAATGAAAATGTTTTTATAGATAAGGCTTGGTTGTTGTTGTTGTTGTTGTTGTAGGAGAATGTTTTATTGCCATAACTTTTAAAATGATATGAAAATAAAACAGAGTTTTGGTGGTAAATAGCAATGGATAAATTTATTATTCTTCAAAAATTATCAACAACGTGTAATTCTTTCTCAGAGTCAGATTCTTCCTTGGATTCAAACACACGAATCATGTTTTCACAAAAGGTAATGTAGTTCTTGTTGATTACCAAATACCAACTATTTGTTTCAGGTACTGATCTTGTCCATAAGATGGGATTCTGTTCCACTAAACTTGACTAAACCCCTCTCCATTCTTGTTATGTTGGTTTATAGGTATGGTAATTCTAATTCTGCAAAAGTAGAGGCTTGACACAGCAACCAAAGTTCTATAAAAATTTGATTTTGACTGCAGATGTTAACAAGCTTTCTTCTGCAGCTTCTTTCTGTTTAATTTTGCTTGTTCTAATGATTGGTGGTTTCAATAGTTGCATCCTAAGAATTTTTGTGGCAAGTTTGTTAATGATAGTTGTTAAATGACTGTGTGATTATAGCATGTTAATTTTGGTTGTCAAATAGTTCTATATGATGTTTCTTTTAGGCTTACAAATTTTCATTGCCTTGCAGGTTTCAATGTGGAGAAAGTTCAGTATAAGAATGTTATTTTCACAGTTTGGGATGTTGGAGGACAAGAGAAATTAAGACCACTTTGGAGGCACTATTTTAACAACACAGATGGTCTGGTAAGAATTAATTTTTATGTTTAATGTTTAATTTTTAAGACCACTTTGTGCTGATTGTTTTTCGAAAATTTCCTTCTTTCATCATCATTAATACACCTAATGAACGTGGAAAGAAAGGGTCTACAGTCATAAGGTAGTATGCTGAAGTTTATATTTTTTGCAGATTTATGTTGTTGATAGCCTGGACCGCGAGAGAATTGGAAAAGCTAAGCAGGAATTTCAGGTGATAAGATCAAATTTCACTATCATATAAGCATATTTGTTTGTGTGTATGATTCTAAAGAAATTTTGAATTGATTCATGGATTACTTGCAGACATATTTGTTTGTGTATGATTCTAAAGAAATTTTGAATTGATTCATGGATTACTTGCAGACAATCATAAATGACCCCTTTATGCTGAATAGTGTCATCTTGGTATTTGCCAACAAACAGGACCTGGTATGTCTTTGCTACTTTTTATCTGTGTTCTTTCAGCTGCATGACCTGACATTAAGGTTATATCTAACCGAAGGTCACATAGGAGCCAAAGCATGTAATTGGTTGACATAACAGCTTTGTTTAAAGAATATACTAAGAAGAGTGAAATTCTAATATTTTAACTTGTATAGAATGTAGTAATACATATTACTGCTGGGTTTTTGTATTACTCATTTCATTGAAATTATTAAAATCTTATGAAATATGTTAGACGGTCTCTGAATTGTTATTACTACTATCTTAAACTTTTCACTGGCATGCTTGCACCTAACAAAAATTTTAGGACGATTCAACTGTTGGAATGATGTCAAATCCTCTTTGAACAAGTGGTCAAAATTTGGTCATTGTCCTTCCCATTCTTCATGATTAAATGTCAGCATAAAGTACAAGTGGGCCTGTGATTTGTTAGTATTTCAAGCCCAAAAAGCTTTAAATGAGGAGCTTTTTTGAGGTGTAATTTATTAAACTATTCAGCCCTAAAAATTACCTTTTGATCTTTAATGATATACCAACAGCCCTGAAGATAGCCGGAAGTAAACCATAATGTTGTAGAGCCTTATTTTTATGTATACTCCAAAATATTCCCTCTTCTTAAGAGGGTTTTGACTCCATCAGTTTTGCCTTCTCCGGAGTACCAGTACACTAATCTATATCCTAATGGAAGGTTTAGAAAAATTCTCTGCCATTCAAATATCACGAGCACTTCTAGTTTCAATGAATATAGTCATTTGTGTGGTCTTTCTTCTTCTCCCTGTATAATGAGTTTTGCATTGTGCTCCAGTCTAGTTATAGTTGTTAATATTTTCTTTTTCTTTAATAGAGAGGGGCAATGACCCCAATGGAAGTATGTGAAGGACTAGGTCTCTTTGATCTAAGGAATAGAAAATGGCACATACAAGGCACTTGTGCACTTAAGGGAGATGGCCTTTATGAGGGTTTGGACTGGTTGGCTTCGACTCTGAAGGAGAGAAAAGCTGCTGGATATTCTTCAATAGGAACCTCGTCCTTCTAATTGTCCAGGTTTCGACAATCTTCCATTTGTTCATAAGTTACCTTCCTGTTTATCATTCCATCATTATGAGTATTGTACACTGCAGGTGCTATGGCCTTTGTCATTGATGAATGTGTATGGTTTGGCCAGTTTCATTCAAGGATGCTGTAGAAAGTAATCAAATTTTTTGGGTTTCATTAGGTTACGTCTAAAGCTGATGAAGTATATAGATGCTTTCACCTTCTAATATGTGACTTTGCTACAATGTATAGAAGTTTGAGCATGACGAATGAAAACTAATGAGACGCGAATTCTTTTGGCATTTTCATGCCCCTGATTACGTGCGTTGACTACCGTGTAGAGATGGTGGTGGATATTGATCTTTGCTTCATTTTCCCTTTATTTATCCCATCCTTCTCTTGTGGATGATGAACAGGAATATCGAGTATAATAAATCATAAATAAACTCCCCAAATTAAAATTCTTATTGAAATAATAATATATATTTGTTATGCAATAGTACTTCTTTTAAGTAAGTTGTCGGTTGAAGGTAAATCTAAAATGATTTTTTTTGTTTTAAGAATTATTTTTATTTATTAGTGGAAAATTCATTTGACAACGTTTATATTTTCAGAAGACTAAATAAAATAAGTTCTTTTTTTGGAGGAGGGGAGGGTGAAAATGTCTTTACATTTTAGAAATAATCTATATAAAAAAAATTCCTGTAGAATACAAAAGGAAAACTGTTGCTCTTGTTGAGAGTCGAACTCAAGACCTCCCGCTTACTAAGCGGGTGCTCTAACCAACTGAGCTACAAGAGCTTCATGTGAAAGGAAATACAAATAGTATCTTAAAGAAATGATGGGGATAACATAACCCGAAAGTGCAAGAATTTTGATTGAATTATTTTTGGTATGGAATTGACGTCAGCAAAAGAACTCTCACAATAATAATACCCAATCAATAATAATACAAGAATATAACGTATGAGTGTACAACATAATTTGCCGATTAGACCAATCCGTTTGGTATGAGCTTTGTAAAAATAAATATAAATTCACCATCTTTCATCTCCTATCCAATTATTTTTCTCTTTTGGCCCTGTAGGACCTTCCTCACCATACAGCTCCACTGGAAGCTTTTTAAGTAAGTTCTGAAATGAATTTCGAAGCCTGAGAGGAAGCGCATTTATGATCTTATCCATCTCAGTTTTTGAATCATAAACGATTTTAGGACCCCACTCTCTCATAAACTGCAACCACTGAGGCTCTGTCACTACATCTCCTAGATACTCGGCTGCAACAAGCTCGTATTGAACGCTAGAATCCACGTAGAAATTACTACGAGTAGCGTCATTCCTAATGCCAATCCCAAGTTTTGAAGATCCTTGAATATAGGTTCCAGGGTGGGGGAAACTTGCATGACCACTTTTTGATGAGTAGACAACAGCTTTATTGCCATCAATATGCTCCAATTCATAGGCATCCACCCATTTACCTCCACTGTGCTGTGAGAAATATATACTCCACAGCTCTCCAGTGAAATTGCATATACGAAGTGTAAAATGTTCCCAGTCACCCACATGCTCTCCAACCTTGCTAAAAGCTATACTAGCAATTCCAAATTTCAGAGTGGAGGGTCCATTGAAGGGGCAAAAAACCCACATTGCAATGTCAGTAAAAGTCCCACCAAGAGCTGGCTTCACATGAACATAAAGTTTGGCACTTTTCAAGTCCCCATGTTTCACAAAATCCCTTCGATTATCACTTGGCAAATCTATCCAAAACTCCCCATCATTTGTTCCTCCACCAGGCAAATTTGAGCCAGCTGGATCAATGGCCTCGCCCGTAGCCACACCCTTTCTGTACAAAAGGGCTCCATTACTGAAAAACCAATCAACAGAAGAAGGCAAGTAAACTTCCTCTGGATGAAAGAAAACAGTAGGGCCATAATGCTCTACGAGTGCATGAATTTGGTGTAGGGATGGCATTGCTGGAAGCACAGGATTTAAGTTCTTCAAGCACACAACAGGTAGCTCTTCTCCCTTGTTCCAATTACCAGTGCAGAAAAAAGTGCCTGCTGAAACTCCTTTCCCCTGCGTGCCGCGGTCACAAGGTCTCAAACTCCACACCTGAAATGGAAACTCCGGAATTATAGAGGCAGCATCGAGTATTAGACGGTAAGGTTCACATTTATCAGTGAGGTCAGCACGAACACAACTCATTTCATCCAAATTAGGCTTGTCAGGCTTGTTAGTAACCAAGTAGCCAAGGGCCTTATAGCCTTCAGGAGGCTGAGGTACCCAAAAGTAAGCAGAAGCATTTGACAGTTCCTTCCTTCCTGCATTGGGACACCATACTAAGGTATAATCAAGGGGATTCTTCAGAGCTGGTAACTTGCATGTTTCAGATGAACTAGTTCCCACTTCCCTAACAACAAGTACAAAACCCCATAAAGGCTTGCAGCAAGGTTGACAATAGTGACCAATGACATGGAACCCATCTGGTATTCCCACCGGTTTATAGAATGCAACACCTTTTCCAACGTTGCTGCTCCAAACAAACTCAAACCCGGTAACCTTGCACACTTGTATTTCACCAAGGTTTACAACCCCTGAAGCAAAACCTTGTCCTGTAATCACATACACAGACAATCACAGCATGAATTAAATCATTAATCCATAGATCATGTCACCAAAACATGATCCAATACTGTCTTTGTATAAAAATAAGAGAAGATACCCATTAAACCTATCATGGAAAGGCAATTAATTTCCTAAAAGAAATAATATTTGATGAATGGGAATTACTTCAAACATGGCATTAATGATAACAACAACAACAACAACAACAACAACAATAATAATAATAATAATAATAAATGAGAAATACAGAGTTAGTTAGATGAAAGAAAATGGAGGGAGAAAGAGAACCTTGAGGCCATTGGGGAAGCGGAGCGGGAAGAGAAAAGGTGGGAGGGAGAGTGATGGTGTTGTTATCGTTCCCTTTCCAAGGAAAGCATTTGCATTTGCAGTGAAGCATTTGCAGAAAACGCAACAGTTGCGGACTCACATACGCACAATAGTGAAAAATACTCAACACTCGCTGCTTCAGATTCAGATTCAGATTTGATCGCGCAAAACCCATCATCATCTTCATCATCAATTGCCTAGAAATCACCATGCCATTGTTGCACGGTCCTTTTCACTTCAAGTTTCATTCGAGGGACCCTCTCTCTCTCTTCTTCTTCCATAACCACAATAACTATTGATAATTCAAAAGAAAGAAACGAAGAAAAATTGTTAACAACAGTCACCGGTGCTTCCGTGTCAATCGATTCTCAATCATTGCTTTTTCTCTTCACTTCTTTGATTCTCCCTTCCCTTTTCCCTACCCTTCCTTCGCTTCCTTTATGTTAGGTACTTTTATTAAAAATTATATAATTTAATTAAATTATAGAAAAATTATTCTTTTCATCCCTAATTTGGTAAAATTCACTTTGGTCCCTTAATTTAATTAAAAAATTTAATTTTGTCTATTTTGTACCACGTGTGTATTTGTTACTCTTCGTCGTCTTATCTATTTATCCTCTTATTCTTTAGATTCAAAGTTATTTTCAGCACCTCTTTCATATTCTTATTCTCAAAACTTCATCCTCTTGCCATCAACAGTATTAACCTCTCACTTTCAATATGATAATCTAAAATCAACTTTTGTTTTTTCACATTGGTTCTCAAATTTCCTCTAAAATCAACTTTTTGCCATCAACAATATCAATGTATCGCTCCTTGAACTGGTTCATGTAGAACAAGCACGTTTCATACTCACCTCAAATGGTAGCTATTGATATGTTCTCGTAATATTCATGCGAGCATCTTCTGAGAGTCATTCTCCCAAATACTGCAATCTCATAGCAGAAAAACAAACATATAGTGATGAGACAAATAGCTTTTCTATTGTCATTGTAAATCATAACACACTGACGTAGGAAATAAAAAATGGGTATTTAGAAAGTTAATTTATTTATGGTTTGGTATTTGGGAGATGAGTGCTTGGTGTTAGTGACAAGAAGATGAAATTTTAAGTATAAGAATATAAAGATGAAATGATGAAAGAAGAAGAAAAGTTGCCAGAAATCAAATTGAATATACTAAACAGAAAAACAGTAACACACAATACACACAGTACAAGTAGTATAAAACATAAAAATTTCTAACGAAGGCAGGGTCTTTTATAGAAAAGGATCTGTTTGAGACTTTTTAAAAAATTAGAGAACTAAAATAAAAGAAGAAGAAGTTAGAGAACGAAAATAAATTTTATCCTAAAGTTAAGAGACGAAAAAAGTAATTTTGTCTAAAATATATTAGTAATATATTTTCTATATAATTGTATTAGGTAATTATATATATACGATATTTTTTTTCATTAATTAATAATATGAATTTTTTAATAAAAATGTATTAAAATAAAAAAGTATATCAATTATTTATTTATGTATAAGTGTTAAAAACAATATATTAAAATATATTATTTTGGGTAGATATTAATGAATAAAAATATATAAAGTTTCAAAAGATGCTCCAGACGATTATTTTAAAAAAATATAAAATATAAAAAATAATACTCATTGGTGAATTTTTTTTTAAAAATTAAATAATAAAAAATAGCCAATAATAATTATTAAAAAATAATTAAAAAATTTAAAGTAAAAAAAAATATTCTAAGCAATTCTTAAAAAAAATTGCTTTTATAATTATTTCTAAAACACTATATTTCGATAAATTTTTATTTCTTTTTCATATAAAAAAAAGGACCCAAAGTGTATTGATATTTTATATAATACAATTAACGCTTTTTTTTTTTTAATATTGTGGAAAGTGGGTATTTTTTTTAAACATGACATTTTTACTATAAAAGTATTGAAATATGGATTTGTAATCAATATTACATATATATGGGATTTCAAAAAACCGTTTGTGGCGATTTTTAAAGAATGAAAAATTGGTTCAAAGTGAAAACGTCACTGGTGACTTTTAGGATAGAAAAAAATAAATTTTTTACGTAGTTAAAACTCACTGTGGGTAATTTTAGAGTAGAAAAGTGCTTTTATACATTCAAAAATCATCACTTGCAACTTTTTAAAAGAAAAATTGCCATTGACGAGTTTTAAAAAAAATTGTCTATATATAATTCATTTGTATTTGTAACGAATTACACCTTAAAAGTCTTTTATTTTCTGTTTCTGAATCTTCCTTTCTCATACTTTATAGCTGAAAAAAAAATAAATGCAAATATAATAGTTTACTTTAATAGTGAGATTGTTTTAAATATGAGTGAAGGTGTGAGATTTATTGTGAGAAGCCAACTTACATCTATATTCCTTACAATATATCATTTGAAGCACTTAAATATTGACTTTGTCAATATATTGAAGTGGAGACTCTAAAAACAGTGGAGAGAATAATCTACAGGTGTCCAATCTCTATTTTTAGAGGTTTCATGTAATACCAAGTGATGACAATAAACAATGATGATGATATTTAACAAATATTTCAGATTTATTATGAGCGTCATGACCAAAATCCTTTAATTGAGTTGTATGTTGTTTTTAAATAAATTACAATTGGTGCATATGCGAGTGTTGTTCCTATTAGAGATGTTGAATGGGAACAAAACAACGTCGAAAGCGATGATGACAGCTTTGAAGGAGATTATAAAAGTGAAAAGGATAGTGATGGTGATAGTTTGGATGATGGGGACTCTTATTTATCAAACTCAATGATTAACCAACATATCTTTGGGGTTTCATCATTCATGTATGCTTTAGATCTTAATGCTATGCAAGCTCCTGAATTTTCAGAGTATGCTAACTTAGGTATGTTGACATGTTTTATTATATTTGTAGTAATAAATTCATCTTTAGTTGTGTGAATGATATTTAGTTTGTTGTTATTATTATTCTTTTTTTGTGTTTTATAGGTCATTGTGACGTAGATGGAGAATTGTATGTTGGAATGCAATTTAATGACAGAGAAGCTGTTATACAAAAAATTAAGAGTTATAATATATCAAAAGGAGTGGACTACAAAATTTTTGAGTTTGAACCAAATACATTTTATTGTAAATGTGTTAGTTATGACATAGATTATGAGTGGCTTGTTTGGGGTAGTTTGAGGAAGAAAAATTATTTTTGAGAAATTAGAAAGTATAATGAGCCACATAGTTGTACTTAGATAACGATTTCACAAGATCATAGAAAGTTGGATGCAGAAACAATTGCAGAATGTATTAAGCCAATGATTGAATTTGACCCTTCTTTTAAGATAAAATTGATGATTAGTGAAGTTCAAGCTCGATATGGATACACAACAACATATCGGAAAGCATGGATGACAAAGCAAAAAGTAATTGAAAACGTATTTAGTCAGTAGGAAGCTTCATATGAAGCATTGTCATAATGGTGTATAGCAATGTGTGATGTTGTTGGAGGATCAGGTGTTCAGTAGGATGTTGTTCAAGCTTATCACAATGATAACCAGGTCCCCGATGTTCAAATATTTTAGAGGTTTTTGGAGTTTTGGTCATTGCATTAGAGTATTCAGATACTGCAAACCACTTGTACATGTCGAAGGGACACATTTATAAGAAAAATACAAAGGAGCTCTATTAGTAGCAGTTGTATAAGATGACAATCAAAATATATTACCAATTGCCTTTACTATTATTGAGGGAGAAACTGCAGATGATTGACAATTTTTTCTTGATAATTTACGTAAATATGTCGTTGATGAGTCATTGACTCGTGTAGAAAATTAAAGGTTTTTGACATATTTTATTGAATTAAAATTATAAGATAATACAATTAATTGGATATTTCAAGGGATGTTGTAATTGTTGAAAAATTGATAAATCATTCATATATTGATTGCTGGCATTTGAATTTTGAAGGGATTATAAGAAAAAAATGGCAATTAGAATTGAATCACTGCAGGACACAATTGTAGGGACATAAACTTCTGATTGTGGGGACATGAAGGTGAAAGAGCATATAAAAGCAGAATTTTTTGAAAAGGTGGCATATTTTTGTCTTTCATTTTTATTACACTCTGGAAGTGCAAAATTTTAAGTTTTCGTACAGTTTACATAGAAATGGTAGCTAGGGCAATTTTCTTACATCTTTTCTAGAGGATTCTTATGGGAACTTGGGTTACATTCCCTTTTTCTCTGGTTTTTGTAATGGAACAATAGCTTCCCTCATTTTATGTCTCTGTTGTAAGCTATTTCTGTAAACATGATTTCTTTTTTTGCAATATATTTCAGTTTTAGTTTATTTACTCCTATTATGTCTAGCTAAATATCTTGGGGTTGAGTGATGATGAACTTATTCTTTTACCTTTTGCAATGAACTAAGCATTGAATATAACTCAAGATACAAGCTTTAATTTAACATTTTTATTCTGAACTTAATGCTTCTCTATCCTACGTGAATGGGGTTGATGAAAAGAAGTTTATTGCTGAAAATTTGTAAATTTTCTTGGACTGAGATCAATTTATTTATAAATTATCTAGGAATAGAAATTTATGATTATGTGGTCAAATGAGTTTAAATCTTAATGAATATTTTTGGTTTTATCTAAAGAATTAGGAAACTAAATTCGTTTTAGAACCAATTAACCAAGGAATTGAGATTGGGTATTTTAGAAAATCTGACTATTAGAGGAAGCTGCATTTTGAGTTATACATATATTTTTATGCAAAAGGGAAAGAATAAGGGATTCTGAACTCACCGTACTTTTTAATTGTTTTTAGACCCACCTTTAGTAATTAAAGCAGTTACATTCTGCAGTTATTTTGGTTATTATTCTACATTTTTGTTCTCAGTTTCTGCTCATATATCATTTTAAATTACAGCACTCTTAATTTAGCTTTTACAATTCTACATATATTTAATTTTTGTTATGTTTATACTCTGTTTTTGGTAACCTAACTACTAACATTCTTGTGGTTTGGTATTTAGCATTAATCCCTGTGGACGATAACCTATTTTGTTACTTCAAAGATTTGATGCATTTGCCAAAAAGTTATCAGTCGTGACGCAAGATGACTTTGATATTATTTCTGATCGTCACGAGTCAAGTAATGCAGCAATAAGACGAAGCAATGGATAGTGGGAACCTCCAAAGGCATTCCATATATATTGTATCAGGCACATTGCTACCAATTTTTGTGAAGATTGTGTACCAACTCACAGGGGCATGAGTAAACAGACGTAACATGCGTGAAAAAAAAGCCCCTTCATCTTCCTCCTCTAGGTCCATCATCCTCCACACCCTACTCATCTATGGCATCGCTTGTCTCTTCTTCATGTGATGTAGGTTCTCCATCTGTCACATTTGCAGATACACCTGTAAATGTCTGTTGTGTCATCTACCAAGACATGATTGGTATAGAGCATTCTCACTTGGAGTAACTAGTTTTTGTCGATAAACTTCTTCATTAATAGCTATTTTTTCCACAGTTGCATTCTCATTAAGGTCAATTCCACATTAAGGAATGTCTTGACAATGTGTGTCATCATCAACAATAAAGTCATATGTGCATAGAAACCTATCAGACATGACACTTCTAATGCTACAATCAACAGATCTCCTTCCCTGTGATCCTCTACTTTTGGAGTCACGACGAATATATCTTCTATCCACATAGATGCGTGAAGGTTGGTGTTGTTCATCCCATTGAAATAGATGCCACTGGTTCATCTGCGGTGACTAATAAAACTCCTCATTTGGTTGAATTGAGGATGGTGGAATCTCCTGTTGCTGTGTGAGTGTAGACATGAAATTTTGCTCTAACAGACATTGTTGTTGTTGAGATTGTGACTGCTCCATTTGTAGGGACAACGAATTCATTGCATAGATTGTGTATCAACTCCAATACTCATTCGAAGGGTAATAGTTGTCAATTGGAATTCCTTCTAACGTACGTTGATATCGTTATTTTCACATTGTCACCCAATCATTATGTATTAATCTCCAATTCTTCGGTTCTCTTAAACCACGCAAGTCTTTGTTGTGGACTTCCTCAAGACTTTGGGGCGGAAGAGGAATAGGCTGAGCAAATCCATATTGACGCATTACATGGTCAGCTGCATACCACTCTACAACCTCAAAGCATATCAATGGGCTTGCAGTTGACCACAATAGACGTTTGCCTCTCACGTCATCTGGAATAACTGCATCAATAGCTTTATCCTCATATGGTAGCCATAAAAACTACATTAACACAAAATACATTATATGTACCTTAGTAATGTGAGAGAGGTACAAAATTATTTAATAAGAATTAACATATGTTGACTAGTACCTCATGAAGTCCCATTTTATCTAATGTCACTTTAACATTTCCAAGGTCTCTATATGGAGTATTGGTTGGATATTGAATGTGTCACCATCTAAGTGTAAGTAAAAATATTATTGGTTCACCAGGTATTGGAGCAAACCATGAGAGCCGGTGCCATGCCCATACCTACAGCAATATTAGGCATCCACAATTTTTTTTAGCATCTTATCGTGAACCATGATCTAGACCTCTATACAGAAAGACAAGACATGCTGAACCCTAACTATATATTTTAATTTCATCAACATTCACCAACAACTGTAAGAATTTTCTATGGACTACTGAATTACTTTTATTCGGCATTCGAAGATGTCCTAACAAAGAAAGTATGTATCAACGAGCATGTTGTGCTATCCTACGGTCAGAATTTGTAGGAAGCTAACCAAAATGTTGCATAATCTACTTCAATCTTATTTCTGAATCTTCAACATCGTTAGATACAGGCTAACTACCTAGTAACTGTTCACACATATCCTACAATGCTATATAATATTCAGATTAGTAGAACCACTAACAAGTAGACCATTGATTCGCAGTCCAAGCAACATAGCAATATCTTCTAATATTACTATGTATTCTTCACAAGAAAGATGGAATGTATATGTTTCAGGTCTCCAATGTTTAACAAGTGCATTTACAAGCCCACCATTTATATGCATTTGACATATTTGTTCAACACGATAAAGTCCAGCTTTCTGTAAAATGTCATATATCTCATGTCTAAGCAGTGTTATTGCTAAGTGACGAGATCGTAATAGTCTCATTACCTGATATAAAAAAATAATTAATCATTAAATACATTATTTAAATTATCATCATTTTAAAATATTTAATCATATTTGATATTTAATCACTAAATACTAATATTTAATAACTAGCTATAATTACAAAATTATATTTTAATAACATAAATCATAAAAATTATTTACATTTTGAGCTCGTACTAATTCTGAGATGTGTTTTTACGAATCAATAGTTGTATTACGAACCATATTGAGAAAATTTGTTAATCAATATATTTTAAAAAAAATTTAAACTAAGTATTTTTGAATTTTTCTATTTTTTACTCTTTTTTCTTTTATTTTCACTCTTAGTTTCTTTCTTCTATGTTCTCTCCGTGCATGAATTTATGGCTGAAAGAGTTATTATATAGCTCCAACAATAGCTAGTGGCAAGTTTCCCACTCAAAAAAAATTCTTCCTCACTTTGGTGCTGCTGACAATGGCAAAAATTCCTCCAAAAATCGTCAATAAACATACAAATCTCTCGTCAAACCCTTAACTCTACTATTTATGATAGATAACATATTTAACTATTGTAGACTCTCCAAAAATTGTCACTAATTTTTTAAAACCTATACTTCCGTAAAATTGTCACAAATAACATATTAACGTAATTATAACTTTTATATCACATATTTAAATTAATAAACCGTGGAAAGTTACCTTGGGTTGTTATATTATCAACTTTTTATAAAGTTGTTTTAATCTATCAATTTTTGTGGACCACTCACGTAATATTGATTGCTTATGTTTTTTTATTTTTTATTTTTTTGTTAGTCTCAAATCAACATCAATGTGTCTGATATAGGGAATATCTGTGATGTAATATTCCAAAAAACATTTATTTAATTTATACTGTTTATTTCATCGTTAAAAATTAATTCTTTTAATATATTTTGTTAATTCAAAGAAAATATAAAACATTTTTTGAATCCATTCTAATTTATATTTCTAACAATAAATCAGACATTAATTTATATACAAAATTATTTCATCAAAATTATGAGGCTTTCGCTTTAGGGAAATTTGCGGTGTGGATGCTTCCACAATTGTGTTTGCTCATGCTTTGAAATTAATGGTGCCTAGCACGGACATGTGTATCTTCTAACTCTCTTATATTTTTTATTATTACTTAAAAATTATAAAAATTACATGAATTCTATTTTAAATTAATTTTTTAAAATAAATTTTAGTCAATAAAATATATATTAAAAAACAAGAACATATTTAATTTATATTTTAAAAATATTTTTCTATTTTTAAAAATAAAATATAATACAAATTTATATTATGTTATATTTTTAAAAACAAAAAATCAAACATACTCTTCTATAATTTTTTTCTGAGTTCTCAAACTCAATTCACCATTGTGCTCTTTGTCAACTCTGTATGATGCTTGGAGTGGATTTCTCATGGTACTTTATTTTTCTCTTTGCCTTTTAGCATTGTAATGTATCAGTGCAACATTAACATACAAAAGGAAATCAAATGAAAATTATTTGGGACAAAAATAAAATAAAATTATTTTTACTCCTAACTTGTAAGACTCCATAAATTATATTTAACTTCTATTTTAAGTTTAAAAGTTTATGAATTTTTTAAAAAAATTATTTTATTTCAGATATAATTTTTGTTAAGCTTAATTATAATTAAAGTAATCATTATAAAATTTAATTTTGAAAATACTTATTTGTATATCTGTATTTTGGTTGTTTGACTATTAATAGCCTGTTTAGAAAATTGATAGGTTGAGTTATAAATAGGGTTTGAAAATTGCGTTAAACATGTTTGGCAAATAGCAGAGGATTAATTTTATCCTCAAAACCATGGTTTTGTTGGAAGTAATATTTTTCTATTTTTGTGATAGAAAAATCTCAGTTGTAAATGTATTAACAAAATTATTCATATATTTAATATTATTAATTTATAATGCCATTTTATTACTATTTACGTGCCTTTTGTTGACAATTATATTTCTAAGAGTGATTTTAATCAGCATATTTAAATAGCTTTTTTTTTTTTTTAACTAAATTCACTTTACTTCAAGCTCACTTTTATAACCGTGTTTAATTTGGCCAAAATAAGATTACTTAAAATAATGTTTGTAACTTATGATACTTAAAATATAATAAAATTTTATAGTAGGAATGCGTTTTAATTAGATTAATGGTTTTGTTAACTTTATCTTAAAAATTGTGCTAATATCTTAAAAATATTAAAAATGCATTTTAATATATTTTAATCAGCATATAGTACGAATGCATTTTATAATTGTCCTAATATCTTAAAAATTAAAGAATATATATATATATATATATATATATATATATTTAAAATAAATTACTAAATTTCATTATTTACTATACACATTTAATTTAATATCAATAGTGTTAAATTCTTTTTAACTATTTAGAATTTTTCTTAAATCAATATGTTGCTCAGCTCATTCTTAATATATTGTTTTTGATAAATTTTATATGCTAGTTACATCTATTTATTTTCTATTTTTAAAATTACATATATTATATATTCAGACAAAAAAAAATAGATTTGAATAAAACATAAACATTTTTACACAGTTATTGCTTTTTCCCTTTTTCGAGTCCTATCCACGACTAAAATATAAGAACCGTTGAAGAGCAAGTAATAAGCAATGCACTAAAAGACAAAGTGAGATTTCAATGAGAAAATCAGCACCCGTCAGCAAAAGATTCCTTTTCTCCTTGACCTTCTCTTCCAACCACTCATTTTCTCTCTCTCACCATTTTCCCGGGAAAATAACTGCCTCAGCCACCATAGCTATTCACTACTCCAAATAGCTAATAGTATGAGCATGAGCGTGCTCTCATGCCAACGCTCTACAATGTTAGCAGCTCAAAACAAGTCTCCATTTCTTCACAGATTTCGATCCTTCAAATCTCACCGTTCCAGATTCCGGTGTTTGCTGGACCAAATCGCTGTTCCGACATCGTTGACGCCTGTTATCACCTCCGATAATTTAATCGCCGCCGCTGCCAAGGCTGTTTCCGTCCACAGCGCCGTTTCCTCCGCCATCACACAGGTCGCCGTCACCGCCTTCGCAATTGCTTCCGGTGCTTGTCTTTCCACCAAGGTTGATTTCCTATGGCCCAAACTGGAGGAGCAACCAGGTCCTGCATCTTCTTTTTCTTCTTTCGTCTTTTTATTTATTTGTTTCGTTCTCATGAACTTCTGAGGTTGCTATGCTGGTGATATTCATATGATTTTGTGGTGCCAAATGGAAGAGTCGCTTATGATTTGTTTTTCGTACATGAATTCGGGGGAGAGAAAACTTATTGCGGTAGATAGAATTGGCTTGTGTTCGTTTTTTCGTTTTCTGTTTTGGATAACATAACAAGCTTTAGATGGAGTGTAAAATACTGGCGAGATTGAATGTGATATGTAATTGGTTGTTCTTTGCATCGTTGTAAATTTTCTGTTGTTGTTTCTGTCATTAAATGATAGTTTTAGTGCCTGATAAGTTTTCTTAATAGCAAAATTAATATCATCCATTATCTTCCATGCGTCATAATTTTAATAGATGTAATAATGTAAATTAATAATATGCAGGTACCATGCTGCAGGATGGAGTAGATGTTACTGGCTACCCTATATTTAACGATGCAAAGGTTTAATATCTCTACTTGTGTTGTGACTTGTTTGTTTTTCTCCTATTAGTTGTTACATCATTAAAATACGTTGTGTGTGAAGGCAGGTACAGAAGGCTATAGCTTTTGCAAGAAAAGCACACCGTGGCCAAACGCGGAAGACAGGAGATCCTTATTTAACACACTGTATCCACACAGGAAGAATTTTGGCTGCGTTGGTTCCATCAAGTGGTAAACGAGTATGAACTCCAGGGATTAGTTAACAATATTAAATTCAAAGTGATTGAGCTTGTTTCCGTATTATATATTTCTTTTACTTTCTGGGAAAACAGGCGGCCATTGGCTAACTCCTTTTCCTCCTGCACTCAATATGTCACAACGATTGTTCATTTTCAAAATTGTCAGCTACTTGGAGGATTTTTCCCCTTTTTCCTCACCGGCATATTCAGAAGAATGCATACCATTATGGAAGGAACACATGGGCGGACTCAATTGCAATTTGATAAACTTGAATATAACATCATCATCATCATCTAGCCAGGCGTATAATTGACAGTCTCGTATTTATCAGAACACATAAATTTGGGTTGTAGCCGTATAATTCAACAAACATATGCCGGAGGGTTTTCTTTAACAATGTTGCAACACTTCTGAAGAAACATATTTGTGAAACACTAAAGTTGACGTCGTATAATCAATTATAATGATACATATCAATATCATTTCTCTTAATTATCCATAATCTTAGCTTTGATTATAGTAACTACTGGATAATATGATTTTTTTTTTCTGTTATTTCCACCAAGTCTCCAATTTGTTTCTTACGCATCTCAATTTCTAAATTGATTTGAAAAGTTATCTGAAAATAATGTTTTTCCCCATACCAATTTTAACCTTTGACGTCACTGAGAGTGAGAACTAAATTGAAGCTTTACTACTCTTAACTGTACTTACTATGAGTGTATGACACTTGAGTGACACATGATAACTTTTTTTTCCTTATTATCTTTTACCTTTTTAAGATGCATTGCATATTAAAAATTGTTTCCTTTGTATGAGATCTTGATACTCTGTTTCAGGCTATTGACACTGTTGTGGCTGGTATTTTACATGACGTGGTTGATGATACTTGCAAAAGACTGCATGACATTGAGGCAGAGTTTGGGGATGACGTGGTCAAGTTGGTAGCCGGTGTTTCAAGGTTAAGTTATATTAATCAGGTACCATAAAGAATAAATAATGTCTTTCTAATGCGTTTTTTATCTTGAAGATTTGTGGGTGGTACATTATTGGCTGCCATCTATAGGTAATTGTTAGATTTCAATTTTCCATGCCCTTTGGATGAAATAAAGATTTGTGGGTGGTACATTTGTATGCATTCATCTTACAAACTTAATCTCAATCTCTTGGCTTGTAGGATGGTCCTAGATGAAAAGCCTTCAGTACCTAGTTGTCTGAAGTTCAATCCTTGTTGCCCCTTTCTTTGTAATTAAAATAAATTTCAATATAAGTTACAGTGGACCTGTAAACCATTTTCTAGTTTGCACCTAAGGATTAAGTTTTTAGGAATTTTTAATCTTTAATATTTTTCTCTTAATTATTGCATTACAACGATGCAATACCTTCAGAGTTTAGTGACGTATTCTGCTACTTCATCGTATTGCATGTTAGATGCTTGAAACTCAATCCTAATAACAACTCTGGCAATCTGGAGAGTTTGACTGTTTTCTTTTATTACCCTTTATATAAGAACTACATTATCTTTTGCAGCTATTACGCAGACATAGGAGGTCGAGTATGAACCAGGGTGTCCTTGGCCAAGAAGAGGTATGTAATCTACATTTGACATATGTATCAATTAGCTATTGAGACTCTTAAATGTACTTTGGTATTATGTCAGTAATTAGTATAAGTTTATAAAGCAAAGAATGTTTGCCTAGCATAAATTTAGACAAGACCATGATCAATTTTATGCATAGTATGTTTAATTTTATGACACTAATCTTCCACAAAAAGTGGTTGATGTGGATAATATATTGGGCAGTGGAATTAACAGCAGAAAGTTTTCTGATGTGTTACATTCTCAATCTGCTAGGCAAGCAATTTACGAGTGATGCTGTTGGGAATGGTCGATGATCCACGTGTTGTGCTCATCAAGCTTGCAGATCGGCTCCATAACATGAGAACAATGTACTGGCTGTGAGCTTCTTCAATTTTTTTTAGCCTTTATGCCCAGTTATTGCTAGTCTTCTTTCAGTTCTTTGTTTTCCCTTTTTTTGCCTTTACTTCAGACCCGTTATTCTTGGAAGATGAAGAAAAAATATTTTAATCTTAACGTATTTCTCAATCCTTCTTGATTATTAGTTGTGAAAGATTACTTCCTTGCTACAGAAGCCATCTTTAACCGACAACCTCAAGCCATACAGTGCTCTTAACTTTTTGGCTAAACACTTTACAAGTGTTAGGTATGTTGCATAGGTCATTTTATTGGGTGACAATCTCTACTTTGCAGTTATGCTCTGCCATTGCAAAAGGCTCAAGCTGTTGCAGAGGAGACCTTAATTATTTGGTGTTCACTTGCATCAAGATTGGGTCTGTGGGCGCTGAAAGCTGAACTGGAAGATTTATGCTTTGCTGTTCTACAGGTCTTTTAATAGTTGCTATGTTTCTTTTGCTTTGAAAGTCCTCAATTATATTAATGTAATGTTGTAAGAAAATGAGAGTCATAGGACAGAAAAGCATATTAAAACACTAAAGGTCTCCAACCCGTGTGAATATCAGCATACCGCCATACCCTATTAAAGGGGTTGTATACTACGCCCCAAAGAGAGGCCTAAAAAGACTATCCATCCGGTTCCAAAGTGCTTAAACATTTAAGTGTTTATGAAAAATTAACAAGTTCAATTTCTTTATTTGAAAATTAGTTCAAGCTATCACAAAATAAGGTGAGTTCTGGCTCTTGAAAATATAATTTACACTACTTGCTGGACACCTTTATTATCTTGTATTGTTAAACAGGAATGTGGATGATCGCAAGAAATTACAGTATTAAATTCCTGCTTCTGGATATAAATACCAATAAAATAAGCAGTATTAACATGACATGACTTTAGCACTATTATAATTTATTGACACTTGTACACCTGTGTTTGTGTTGTACCTTGACACCAGCCTCAAATATTTCAAAAGATGCGAGCTGATCTGGCTTCCATGTGGAGTCCTGCTAACAGAACAGGAAATCTGAGAAGATTCTCTGTAAAAGGCAACTTGATACCTTTGAATGAGAACGGTTCAACTTCTTTCTACACTGAATCCTTGTCATTCAATGAGGATGTAAGTATGAAGGTAAGAATTTTTAAGGTGATGAGATTTGGCTAAATTCTGCATTATGGGTCCCTTGGTAGTTGCTTTCTAGCCTACGCTGGTTCTTGTTGCTACTGCAACAATTCACACAAAAATGTTTCTTTTGTGCCTGAATACAATTATTATACTGTTTGATTACATAGTATTTTTGTCTTGTTTACATAATGAAGTTTGGAATATGTTATGCTAAAATTTTTAAGCAAAATGGGTGAGGGACCAGGGGAGGTGAGATTGGAAAGTGTATGAACTATAAGGTGATGCTAATTTGAATTACTTTTTTTATCCCTCATGAAACATTAAAAAAAGAGAGTAAATTTTAAAAGTTATAAAGAAGGTCGATCAATCACATTTTTTCAAGTCCTTATGATTAACTACTTTGAAGCGACTCTTTGGAAAGCCCTTTCATATTGTCTGAGACATTCAAGATTGATAGTCGTGATTACTTGCCGAGGCAATGAGACAATATTCCATCTTCATTGCTTCAACATGTCCTGGGAAAGGGTGAGAACAAAATTTTCATTCTAACTACTTCAATTTTTTAATTTTCAGGATCTCTTGGAAGCTGTAGTCCCTTTTGATATATTGTTGGATAGGAGAAAACGGGCTAACTTTCTCAGTGGTATTGGGAATAATATGAAGACATGCACTAAACCAAAGGTTGTTCAGGATGCTGGGTTAGCTTTGGCATCATTGGTAATTTGTGAGGAAGCACTTGAACAAGAATTGATTATATCAGCTTCGTATGTTCTCTTTGTCCATAATTATTTACCGCTTTTACTTTCTAATACTGTCAATGGCAAATGCATTCTAAGCTTTATTTTTGCATTTTAGGCAGCACCGTTCTCTATCTGCTGACTGCTATAGTGTTATGGTATAATCAGTTTTGTAATTTTGAAAACTTTCCTTCTGTATTTGCAGTTACGTTCCTGGAATGGAAATTACATTATCAAGCAGATTAAAGAGCCTGTATAGTTTATACAGCAAGGTATTGTTCAAATTCATGTTTGACCCTTGAAATAAGAATGTTTGTATGTGTTTTAGCGAGACTTACTACAATTTTGCAAAGCTGTGGCATTATTTGAATGGTTTGAAATGTCAGATGGCTCTAATAGAGCATAATGCTAGTGAATAGATGAATTTGTGGAAAGTATAAGAAACGTTGCACATAAAATGAAAATTTCTTTAAGTTCCATAGTTCCCTTCAAATTTTGTTATGGCTGTAAATTTTTGTGAACTTTGTGTAATCACACTAAACGCTTATTTAATATGCATGCAAATATTGTTAAAAGGATTGTGAATTTACTAACAATTTAGAGGGCCCGTCAACACCCCCCGCCCCAACAAACCAAAAGAAAAACCCCACATAATCACAAACTGTAGCATCTAGGTTTTGGTGTTTTTTTCCGTTCATTTTTTCTTGTGTTGGTGGAGTGAATGTGGAAAAACATTGAATCACCATCTCTTTAGCCAAGATTCTGCGTATTATGCAATTCCTTGGCCGATGTACATTCAGACTATTCTATCTCAAGTCTTTAATTGACAATGAAGCAATTTTTTATTATGGAAGTGATGAAATGCAGAGGTTCCTGGCAATTAGTTATAATATTCCTATTATTTTTACTACATTCTTCATTCATATTCAAATATGATTTTATACAGCTGATCGTAAATGCTTAGCTTTCCTGTTGAACAATGTTTGCACTAATGATCTTAACTTTTTGTGCAGATCACTTTGTATTAAATTAATGGTAGGTCATGGTTGTATGTATTGCAGATGAAACGAAAGGATATAAGCATTGATAAAGTATATGATGCACGTGCATTAAGAGTAGTTGTGGGAGACAAGAATGGAACTTTACAGGGGCCTGCAGTTCAGTGTTGCTATAGTCTACTTGACATTGTACACAGGTAAAAAAAAAAAAGGTCATATTTCAGACTTCAAGCAATCATATAACCAATACACAAGTCATTCAATGCAATCATTTATATAAGATATGGATACAAGATTAGTTGACCTTTTCTGCATGCTGTGCTTTGATAGATTTTTACTTCTCATTTTTTCAATTAAAAGAAAAGAAATCCAGAGAGAGGAAAAAAAAATAGCAGAGCAGGAGCAGAGGAGGATGAGATATTCTCCATTGGGAAACACATAAACTGAAATATCCTCTTTTATATTTCCATTCTCTTTTTCCTGTTTGTTTATCTTGGACTCTCTGTGAGGTGAAGATCAACTAGTATCCTCTTTGTCATCCCTCCTTAAGAGTGGAAGGTTCCACCCATAGATCTTAGGCATTCTTTTTTCACTTCATTAACCCTATTGGCCCCAGACAATGACTCAATTGACTATTCAGGCTTTGGACTCCAATAGATGGTGAATTTGATGACTACATCATTAATCCAAAGCCTAGTGGCTATCAGGTTAGGATTGCTGGTTCATATTTTCATGAAATAAAATTAACATCATTTTTTCTTCTGATCTTCAGAATTGTGCTCATGACGGTATTAACTTGTTAAAATTGCAGTCCTTGCACACTACAGTTCAAGGTCCTGATAACTCACCTTTAGAAGTACAAATAAGAACACAGGTGCTAAATTATTTCACATATTTTGCATAGTTACTTGTTTATATTTTAGTTCTTGATATTTTCATTTATCATTTTGCTTCCTAGAGGATGCATGAGTGTGCAGAACATGGACTTGCCGCACATTGGCTTTACAAGGAAACTGGAAATCCTTTTTTATCCATAGACAGCATGGATGAACCTGAAACAGAAGCATCCTCCTATTTCACCAAAGATATAGAAGAAGAAAATTCTTCGGATATTTTATCAAGTAAATACAAGTCATTGAAGGCTGGGCATCCAGTCCTCAGAGTGGAAGGAAGTCACTTACTTGCTGCTGTTATCATCAGGTATGTGAAGCAACACTTACATTGTAATGAATATGTTATAAAGCTGTCCATACTTATTGTCCCCTGTGCTCCTTACCTTTTTAGTGTAGAAACTGATGAAAGAGAATTGCTAGTTGCTGTGAGCTTTGGGCTAGCAGCTTCTGAAGCAGTAGCTGATAGAAGATCTTCTTTCCAGATTAAGCGATGGGAAGCTTATGCACGACTATACAAAAAGGTTTTCTGCTTAAATTAACATATATTGATGTAAAATTTGACTATAGATGGCTTGCGATGAATGCTTTGTGGAAAGGACACGAATTGACTGATTACCCTTATTAGAAGGCAGTGCCTGGATAGATGACTGTATGGTAGTTTAGCTTACCAACTTGTTTCCAATGTGATGCAGTGTCCTCTCTACCACCAGCCTCTGATGCTGTGTCATCTTTTCCTTTGTATTTTATTTTACATTTAACTTACGTGGTCAGGTTGCTTACTGTTGACCTACTTCAGGTGTCTGATCAATGGTGGTTTGAACCAGGACATGGGGATTGGTGTACTTGTCTAGAGAAGTACACACTATGTCGAGATGGAATGTATCACAAGGTATGTTTTTTTAAGCAGTTGAGAATATAAAATTATTTTACCTCCTTTTAGTTTTCATTATTTTTGTTATCAGCAATGTATAGACAATGACATACACTGGAAATTTTTTCTTTTTCTTTTTTCTTGTTTAGACTTAAATATTTATCCTTTGCATATTAACTGTATTCTAGTTCTTAATGATTGACATGTGTTGGAAATCTCTTCAGTGTAGTAATTACTTAAGAGAAACTAATACATTTTGGACAGTCTTCTGCTAAGTCAAAAATTGCAGGCTTAACAAAACTCCTAAGTGATAAGTAATCCAGGGAGTTTTGTAAGAGATCTTGACCCCTTGTGTTGTTTAGCAGATAGTTTATAGGATTGTGTACTTCAATTAGGAAATTATGTCCATATCCTCTGAAGGTGAAGAAAAATAAGCTTTCAACTACATGAAGAGTATGAATATTTTAGAATTAAAACAAATTATATTCCTGTACTCTAATAAGACACTAACATCTAGCTACTTCTCTGCATCTATATTCAATCACTTTTTGGAATTTTCATCAGTTATATAGCGTCCTTTATCCTTTTCTTTCATGCCTTAAAGATAAATTGTTTCATGTGTTAGTCTGTATGATGTTAAAAATGCCACAATGGATATAATGATTGTTTCTGAAAGATGAAAATTTGAACATTTTATTAAAAAAATTAATTTGTATTGGTTATTGAATTCATTAAATGATGTGGTAATGCATCATTGGATGGCAAGGTGAACTATTTTATTTTGGCATAGCATCAAAATTAAACTATTATAAACTTGCATATTTAATGCTAATAAATCATGCTGACTGCATTCAAATACTGGTTTTCCTAGACCCGTAACGGGGTTGTAATTATTAGCTTGCTTTACTGAAGAGCTTTGTATAATTATTTGCATCATTTGCAGCAAGACCAATTTGGGCGCCTACTCCCAACATTCATCCAGGTTATCAATTTTACTGAGGAAGAAGAATCTGAATATTGGGTTGTTGTTTCTGCTGTGTTTGAGGGTAGGCAAGTGGATTCTATTACATCTCGGTCAAAATTTGACTTGGTTACATCAACATCTGTGGAACCTAGCATCAATAACAAGGTTTTTTGGCAACTAAATTGCCTCTCTTACACATTTTATGCGAATGGAAATTGCTTATCTATGTTTACTTCTGTTTCTTTTTTTGTAAAAAGTTATTCCCACTCAAATAAGCTGTAGAATTTTTATTTTTTTTAATTCCATGCTACATAACTGGTTGTAGTCGCTCCATGACTATAATCTTAAAGCAGTCAATTTTGCTGACAGTTAACTTACTGAAAATTTGCTCTGCCAAAAGCAAATTATATATTGCAGATCAGTATTTATATTTTTGGTAATGATGGTAGAAATTAGTTTGTCTAATATGCATAATAGGCCAAGTGTTGGGACGAAAGTATTGTCTGTCTGGCATATGCAAATTGAAAATTGATAATTTTTTCCCGTTATTCCAGTAGATTTATGAATGTCAATGAATGTTTCAGTGACTGTTTATAATTCATCTTTTAGGTGCATCTTTTGAGAACAATGCTTTCCTGGGAAGAGCAATTGCGGTCTGAAGTAAGCATCAACCAAACAAAAAATGATGCAAAGCCTTATGATCTTCATGGTTCTCTTAACCTTGGAGAAGTGGTAATTATATGTTGGCCTCATGGTGAAATTATGAGGTTAAAAGCTGGTAGCACTGCTGCAGATGCTGCTCAAAGAGTTGGTTTGGAGGGAAAACTGGTTTTAATTAATGGACAGTTAGTACTGCCCGGCACAAAACTCAAAGATGGTGATGTTCTTGAAGTAAGAATCTAAATAATTCTTTCTAAAACAATGTAAATAATTCTTTACGGCTCCGATGTGGTTACAGTAGCTGGGATAGAAATAGTTTTTTATTTTATTTGAGGGTGCGGATTCTTGGTAGAATAATGTACTTTCAAGCAAATTTAAAATATGGTGGCTTTAAACTTTATTCCAAGAATACGTTGGATAACCACATGTGCTATCATACGTTGTTATTTTGGTTGTATGTGTGGTTATTACTCTTACTCATATCTGGAACTAATCGGCACCATTTGTGGTTATTGACCACACAACTATGGTTGTTCGTTGTATTTGGAATGAAGTATTAAACCACTGCATTTTAAAATTTTGTTTGATGGCACAATAATTTTACCGAGATCTTTGGAAAGAGGGGGCATGCCAGAGAAGTAGGAGTACTCTGATACATTTAATTTTATTGTTAAACAGAGGCTTAGGATTTATTTCTAGAATACAGCCCTAGCATGGTTCACTACAAAAACAACAGTGAATTGCACCATGCCGCGATGCCATTGAAAACCCATTTTGTCCGGTTCAGTGCATTCCCATTTGACGACTAAGTACAACTAAGAATTCTGTAAGCAATTAGACGATCTTTATGCCCGAATCTCATAGGTTTTGAAGAGTAGTAATGGTAGCATCCTAATGTCATATATATGCTATCGAATGTTTACTGTATAATATTTCAAGAGTTGTTATGGCAAGGTTTTAGCAAAAGCTTTCATCCACCATATCTTTCCGATGAGAAACATTCCTTTGTGGTGCCTATTCGACCATTACGGCAGGGCTTCATCCACTCTGTTGATAAGCAGAGAATATGATTCTTTTTGAGGAAGCATATTGCTGCATTTCCTTGTTGTCTCATGGTGACCCGAATACCGTACAACAAATACGGAGACAAGCTGGTAACTGTAGTCTGCAAATTGTATAAAATTTGGAAGGTGTAGTTTTTTTTTTTTGGAAGTATTTTTAGTGTTTCTAATTTGGAAGTATAATATTATTTCACTTGAATAAATTTCAGTTATACAACATTACATATATGCTCTAAGGGTTACTTTACACAAAAAGTTATCCAATTTTTTTTAATATGAACTCTTTTAATAAATTATCATATTATAAATATATATTACGATAAATATATTATAAATTAGTACTGTGTGATAATTATATAATGTCATGTAAAATGTATTAATTTAATCTAATAAGTTGTATTATTATCATTATAACAAAAACATCTTTAAATATCACATATTTTTCATCAAGTATAATATTATTTGACTTGAATAAATTTCAGTTATACAACATTACATACATGTTCTAAGGGTTATTTTACACACAAAAAATTATCTAATTTCTTTTAATATTAACTCTTTTAATAAATTATCATATTATAAATATATATTACAAAAAATATATTATAAATTAGTACTGTATGATAATTATATAATGTCATGTAAAATGTATTAATTTAATCTAATAAGTTATGTTATTATCATTATAACAAAAATATCTTTAAATATCACATGTTTTTCATCAAATATAATATTATTTGACTTGAATAAATTTCAGTTATACAACATTACATACATGTTCTAAGGGTTACTTTACACAAAAAAGTTATCCAATTTGTTTTAATATGAACTCTTTTAATAAATTATCATATTATAAATATATATTACAATAAATATATTATAAATTAGTACTGTGTGATAATTATATAATGTCATGTAAAATGTATTAATTTAATCTAATAAGTTGTATTATTATCATTATAACAAAAATATCTTTAAATATCACATGTTTTTCATCAAGTATAATATGATTTGACTTAAATAAATTTCAGTTATACAACATTACATACATATTTTAAGGGTTACTTTACACAAAAAATTATCCAATTTTTTTTAATATAAACTCTTTTAATAAATTATCATATTATAAATATATAGTACAATAAATATATTATAAATTAGTACTATGTGATAATTATATAATGTCATGTAAAATATATTAATTTAATCTAATAAGTTGTATTATTATCATTATAATAAAAATATCTTTAAATATCACATGTTTTTCATCGAGTATAATATGATTTGACTTGAATAAATTTTAGTTATACAACATTACATACATGTTCTAAGGGTTATTTTACACAAAAAAGTTATCCAATTTTTTTTAATATGAACTCTTTTATATATTGATTTCACATGTTTTATATATTTAATTTTTTTCTTATATTATTGAATTGAGGCAATAAAAATGCTTATTTATATTTTTGTAGTTATTCAAATTATATTAAAAGGAAATTTCATTACTGTTTTGGCTATCTACCATCTGATTTCCAAATGCCATTTCCTGATTGGATGGAGTCGTTAATTTTACTTGTTCGTTTCCCTTCAGGTGGAGGGAAATAACTGACCACACAGTACTAACAAATTATGAAAATTTCAAACGTACGACGGTCTATTTATCAGTTTTGAAAAATTAATTGGTATCCACACCTTTTTTTCTTGTTTTAGCTTTGGTTATTTGCCAAAAAGAGGAATAAAACATAGACGTAAATACTTGGGAGAAAATTTAAGTCTAGCTTGACCTATCAAAATTATATTTTCCAAAATGATAGAAAGTACCGGTGAACTGCTTTGCAATAACTGAAATTACAATCAAAATTTTGCAAGTAGAAGGAAAAAAATTGGCACAAACCAAGGTTTGGACCTCGAATTACACAACCAAAAATTTGTGTTTACCACATCCCAAGTGGTAACATAGCCGTAATATGTTGTTAGAATACTCCGTTATCATTCTGAGTTTCACCAGCTATCATTTGGTTCCCTGGCAGCACCTGCAGAGCAGTTCTGTTCCCATCCACTTCCTGCGTACGTTAACAGTGAATAATGTTACTTCTAAAATACAGTTAAGAACTCAAACATGTTAAAAAAAACTGCAAGTGAGAGTAAAAGAAATTCATATTACCTTTGTAACAACATTATTGTTGCTGTTTGATTTACTATCTAGTTTCAAGTTCTTCAGCATCTTTTTTAGCTCTCGTATACTCATTTTCTGATATTCACAATAGCCTGTGTTTTCCTTCATCATATAAGCTTTGTTCTTTTCACCCTCCTCGGTGGGCTCATCTGCAAAGTCCTTTGGTTCTGATTGAGTGGCAACAACTGACTGAATTGGAATATTCTCCTTCTGCTCATAGACTGGCACTGGAGCAACTTCAGTAATTGGACTCTTCTTTTGCTTAATCGTCTCCACTGTGATACTGAATTCCGGTTCTGGGATAGCACTTTCTCCCGGAATAACATCACTGTCAACCAGTATGCTATTACAACTTGACAAGGACATTGAAGCATCAGATATCTCTCTCGAGTCATTGGTTTGTAGGCTATCAGCAATGGACCCAACTAATTCCTTCAGGCTTACTGAATTATTGCTTGCAGATGACATAGGAAGCAAGCTAGCAGCACCTTGGTCAGTAACCATCATAGAAACATCTTCAGATACATCAACAGCCACAACAGATATTTCTGCAGAGTTGTTTTCATCTTGGTTATCAATGTTTTGCAAAACTGATCCCTTCAAGCTTACTGAATCATCGCTTACAGATGACATGGGAAGCAAGCCAACAATGTCTTGGCCAGTTGCCACCAAAGAAGCATCATCAGGCATCTCAACAGTTGAGGCATCAAGTTCTTGATCAGTAACCTCCATAGAAGCATCTGCAGATACCTCATTAGACAAGGCAGATATCTCTTCAGAGCCATTGTCATCATGGTCATTAGTGTTCCTTACAGATGACATAGGAAGTGAGCCAACAATGTATTGGCTAGTAACCTCCACAGAAGCATTATCAGGCACCTCCTCAACAGACAAAATGAATGCCGTAACATCCCGTGAAGAATCGTCAAGAGACTGGAAAGCCTCACTGTGCTTGGTTTCTAGACAATTCTCATTTTCTGATTCAGTAGAATCACAAGAATTCTCCAATTCAACAAATATCACAGTTTCTGCAAAGTGATCAAAATGAAAATCAGGGGACTTCACTGAAAAACATCATGAATGCTAGGATCATTATACAAGAATAGTCTGTGGTCTGCAATTAGTAACAATCAGTAGATGAAGAAAAATTGCACCTGCTTGATTGTCTGTAGATACAGCAGTTACTGTTGGTTTGTTCATGTCTGACCCATCACAAACTTCATTTGAATAGCTGTATTTCTTGGAAATTTCCTCCATTTTCAAATTTGAATCATGTGGTTCAGCCTCCAAAGAATTGCTTTTCCCTAAACTATCTTGTGGCTCAGCCTGCAAATTATCTCCTACAGCATTGTTTGAACCAGAACCCAATTCATATTCAGTGTTCTTCTCTTGGGAGGTAACTTCCAACTCGTCCATTTTTCCTGAGACAACAGTTGATACCATCTGCATACTAGGCCCTACATCATAGACTGTTCCAATTCAGTTTTGAATAAAACATATCATATGAAAATAAAACAAAAAGGATAACAAAAAGATTCAACACACTTTTTTCAGTCTCTGCTAAGTCTTCTGTTTGCTGAGAGATATAACTCATATCTTCAGACATATCAATCTTTACAAGCCCTACTATGTCTTCAGCATCCATCAAACTCATCTTAGACAAGTTCTTCTCCAACAATCTGGCAGACCGCCTCGTGTTATGTGCCCTTGTCACAGTGGTCACAGCTGCAGCAGTTTTAGGTTCCTCAATTGGCTTTCCTTGGGCCCCATTCTTTTCATCATCTGGAATCTGGGATTTGGTCTTTCTACGAGTAGAAGTTGCGGCAGCACGTCTCCTACTGGTTGGCACTGCAGGAGTTACTGCCACACTCACATCTTTGCTCTCTTGTTCAATTCCTTCAGCTCCTCTCACAGATTTCCTTCTAGTTGAAATCCTACGGTGAGTATCTGGTGTTGCAATCACCTTATTATTATCGTCTTGGAATTCCAGGTTATCACATTCCACTTGACGATTAAAAAGCTCATCCAACCCTTCAACCTACCACATTTCAATTTCAAAGATTCCATTATCAATGTCTCATTTCGATGCAGTTTCCACAGAATGACCCAACCAGAGCCAATTAGACTAATTTAATTCAGTCACAACAAATAATACACCAATTCAGGAAAACGAAGATCAAGAATGACCCAAGAAACAATAATAATGAAGATACATAAAAAGGGCATTACTCGGTGCAGAGCTGCGAGAGACTGAGCCATGGCAACATTGGTGATATTAGCAGGAATGTTGTTCTTCTTGCAGAGGGTCTGCAATTCCTTCCTCGAGAGGTAGCGGAAATCCATTGTCTATGGATCAATGGAGGGAATGGAGATGTGTGTGTTGGTATATGTAGTTGTGCAGTGAATGGCGTAGAAGAAACCCTAGAAAAAGATATGACCGTTAGATCCTCAGTTTTCAATTTTTCAAATGCCAATTTGTGGCGGCAGAGGAAACCCTAGACAATATGACCGTTGCACCCTCATTTATGATTTTTTTCAAACTTCCATCACTCAGTCATATTTACAATAATTTATGCCAATAAATGCTTATCAATGTATTAAGGAAATAAAATAAAGTAAATGCTAGCCAAGAGAGCATTGTTTAAAAAGTTAAAATCAATTTTTTATTATAAAATATAATTGATATTTTTTTCATACTTTTTAATGTAGTCTAATAAATTTTTGAAGAAAAACTTTGATCAGCAAGACCATCAAAACTAACAATTGTTCTTCTAAAAGTTGTCCAAGGGAATACAATAGATGGAAACTTTAATCTCAATATTAAAAATTGTGTTTATATAATTAATAATAATAATTTTTTTAAACAGCAAAGCATTTATAATATTTTTGTATATCTAATATAATAAATATTTTTAATAATAAATTATTATTATTATTATTATTATTAATTGCTTAAATTAAGGTCTAAAAATTGAATTTAATAAAGTTATCAAATAAAAGTTTAAATATAATAATTTTTTTTTTAAAATCACATGATATAATATAATTTAATGCATTAAAAATATTAAATGTTACAATTTTTAATGAAAAATAATATTGAAAATAGATATATAATAAAAAAATTAATTATGTATGAATCTCAGATGTAATAATTTTATTAATTTTAATTTTAATTTTTCACGATCACCTGTATGATTATATTTTTTAATTAGTCAATTGTTATTTCTTGCACATTTTGTGTACCAAATAAGTGTTTTAAAAATATGTGATTTAAATACACTATGTATCAAAGTTCACTGCACTTGCTGTTGGCACTTTTGAGTTTTAGCAACATAGGCATATAAATTATTAAAAAAAATAATAATTTATCCTTTCATTTTATAATATATTCATCATATGTGAAAGATTATTATATTTCACTTTCACAATCACAACAAATATATTGTGATTCTTCCAACAAAATAAAATAAAATATTGTGATTCATTTTCTATATATGCACTACTCATTATAGTTATTCATTTTCACAATCACAAAAAATATATTGTAATTGATTATAATTTTGTTATATGTTTTACATTATGTTTTCTTTTCTTTTTCATAAAAAAGATTACACAAGCATATTTTAATTAATATCATAAAATGAAAACAAATGCATACATCTGCATTGCATAATTACTAAATTTGATAGAATAAGTAATTTATATTACATAAAGTCAAAATTATCATTATTCTCAAGTTCACTTTAATATTAAAAATTTATTAAAATTTTTTTATTTTTGAAATTGATATATATATATAGGAAAAAGAATCTTTTTACACCAGTGTGAATCTAAAAATTCTTACATCTAATCTGAGCCTTTCATTTAACTTAAATCTAAACAGCCAGTAAAGTAATAAATTATAACTCAATCTGAGCCTTTCATTTAACTTAAATCTAAACAGCCGGTAAAATAATAAATTATAACCGTTAAATTTAAGTTAAATAAAAGACTCAGCTTAAGTGTCAGAATTTTTAGACTTGCATAGTGTGTGTGTGTATATATATATATATATATATATATATATAACCTTATCTTGTATTAAAATCATATTTTAATTTTACTATTAAATGCTTAACTCTAAAATAGAGGTTAAAAAAACCCACTAAAAGAAATGGATTGAGTTGGGTTAATAACTTTATAAGTCTTGAGCCACACTTGTTTCTCAACTCAATGACTCAAATTTGGTATATATAAAGATTTTATAAGGCTGAAGTTAGCCTTTCTAAAAGTTTGACTTAATCTATGAAACTTTATTTTTTGAAAGCTTTGCTTAATATTCATAGTTAGGCCTACTAAATTCGATTACTAACATATGCTTAGATCATTTTACTATAGTTACAAGAACTATTGCATTAATTTTTCACTACAAGTTAGGTCAATTTGTTAAATAAGTCAGATCAAGAACACTTTTTTTTATTTGTTCTTAGAAAATAAAATAAAATATTCATTGAGTAGTTATCGGCCATTGTCCAATTAAAACATCAACTCACCCAAAACAATTTTGAATGATAAATCACATCCAAGTGCAAGAATTTTTTCTAGAACTCAGTTGCGTCGCAAAGGCATTTTGAATAAGAAAGAACTGAACAATCCAAATTATTTAAAGCGCACAGAACAGAACCAGGTTTACATCATCACTCATAAAATTAGAGGTTTCATCATAGACTATGAACAACTCGGCTTCTAACTAACACTACAAAATTGCAATTCATTTACATGTTAGCGTGAAAAATGGAAATCAATATCCCTTGCTGTTACGCGACAAGATTTTCTAATTTTCCCACTAAACAGGAAGGGTTCAAAAGTAAATAAAAAATAAAAAAAAATTGGGTCAGACTTATTCTAGTCATTTTAGCTTTTGAAGAACAAAAAAAAAGTAACTTCTGATTCCAAAGCATAAGTTAAATAACCCACTTCGGAATTCTAACATATCTACCCAACCTGAATGCTGAGATTGATAGTGTAACATTTTCCATTGACCCAGTTAGTAGTCAACTTGCTTCAGGGTGTCAATGTGAAATATTCTTGTGAAAATAAGTATCGTGCCTCAACTCCACAAGTTGAAAAAGTGTTTATGCCGTTCACTACAAAAATATCAACGAGTTATCAATTTATGTCACAACGTAACCAGCAATTACAAGTTGAAAATTGTCAGATTTAATTGTAATAATGCACATCAATCAAAATTAAAGTTCAAACTAAGAATATACTTGAAAACTTGATCCATGGTTGAAGTTTCAGAAGAAATACAAATATCTCATCTCACGAACTGAAAATTGTAAGAGTATTAATAATCTTAAATTAAAAAAAAACAGGAAAAAGCTTCTTCAACACATGACATTGTGTTTTTCTTTTTAACATGTGGTTAAAAGGAAATTACATCAGTCCCCTTTCCATGCTCTCAATGTTTCATTAACTTCCAGAACACAGATGATTACAGACACATGCAAGCATATGGATATTCAATACACCCATAAAGTGCAACATATCAAAATCTACAATTGGACTCTATCCAAAAGCCTCTAACTCTTAAAGGTAAGAAGTGCAACGTATCCAAAAAAATCATACAGAAAGGCTTGATGTGTCCAACTCCTAAGACAAAAGAGCAATCTTGTAACTAGGGTGACCAAAATCTATAATCAAACTTTATCTATGGTATCATTCCAGTATAACACCAGCAGTGCCGGGGGCTCTCACTTGGGCAAGAGAAGTTATGGAACTAGCATAAAAAACCAATACTTCAATTTGCTCAGTTACAAGATTAAGGGCCCAAAATAACATAATAGAAAGCTAGCAACAAATGCATCTTAACAATGGGTGACTGGATGTCATACAATGCCCCTACAAGTCAAGGTCACTGTCATTCACTTTCTTGCCAAGAACTAATTTTTAAGCAACCTCCAACTTCTCTACTGATATAATTCAGCATTCAAACACTTCCTTCTCTCCCATAGGCTGCTTAACATGAATATTTTATTCTTCTTAACAGTAAGAAAATAATGGTAAACATCTTTGAATAGCAAGAAAAACCCCAAGATGACAATAGCATGGTTCCATCAGTAAGAAGATGCAGTACCATCATCAAAAACTGAGAGAAAGGCCTTTAGAGAAGTGAAGATGTTACCTACAGTGTTGAAGCATCATTACTAATATCATAATCCAACCTTTCTTGAACCAAGTTTATCTCCATGCAGTGTGACTTTCCAGCAATCAACTTGAAATACAAATACAGAAACCTTTTTGGGAACAACTGCAAGTTATCAAATAGAGGGTAAGTATTTGGTCATCACAAATCACAAGTCTGAAACGGATAAATTAAAGAGAACGATCCTGCAATAGATAAATCATCACCACGCTGACTTAAACAGATCACAGAATGTGTTATGGTAAAGGTTCCTAATTCTTAATCAACTTATCCACAATGTTACAAGAGAAACAGATGAAACTTTAAGAAATTCTCAGTGAGAGAGAGAGAGAGAGTGTACAGGTGAAAGTAAGTCGAAACCCATGTAATTTTCTCAGTAGAAGTGGAAATTTGTCAGTAGAATTACTCAGATATCCCACAATTTTAATTGGCAGTAGGAGAGAAAATGGATTTTTGATCTTGCGAAAGCTCTTGAGGATTCTACCCTCCATACAAAGGTGAGGAAGTTACCATTCTCCTAATTTAAGAACTGCTGTGAGTGAAAATGTTTTGCTTGGGTGTCATTGGAAAAAATTCAAAAAGCGTATTTTCAATAATATATTAGAAATATAGAAACATACTTCAAAACAACTTCAGATCTTTGTATATCGGCAGCAAATCTGGTTTCTTTCAGGAAAAAAATTTCAGGGTTTTGGAAAATGATTATGATATGAGCTAGGTATTCAGGAATAAGGAAAGTGGAAACACGAAACTGAAAGTTCAATGCCCATCACAGAAAACATAAGTAAAGGAAACAGAAATTTCCCATACCATTCAAACACAAAAGCATTTTTCAGTGCAACTTACAAGTTCCATTTTAAAATAAGCTTAATGCATCGACTGTTTGTCATTTTTTTCTCTTCAATTTGAATACAAAATTAAAAATCATTTCTGTTTAAATTACATTAAAATTCAAAACCGAAGTTCAAAATTCTAATTCCTTTATTATCACACTTGTACAGAAATTACTAGTACAATTCAAGAAAAGCATACACATACAACTTTTACAATCGTGTGAGCACTAATGCTTATGAAATAAAGGAATAACAACAGCTCTGACAATCCAACACCAGTTTGTATTTCTAAATAGTGGAACGATTACCCCGGAATTTATTATCTTCAGTGATTATCCCAAATGCTTCTGCAGTTTCACGAATCATGATCCCACAAATTCCTGTAAAATGGCTTATTTTACACTCCACAACTGCAAAACATAGGTGGACATCATACAGTCAGTGGTAACAAGCAGATAATTATATAGGAGATAGAGGTTAAAATAATTAATTATTTTCTGTAGGAGTCTCAAAGACTGACTCTTTTTGGTAAATTGGAAAGATTAGGTATCTTGGGCTGTCTACCAGGACTCCCAGGGGTTTTCATACAGAAATTTTTTGAAATACTAATACTAAACAGCACTCATAATAGAAATGCATCTTCAAAATTTTAATTTACTTAAAAGGCCTAAAGCACACTCTGTATAAGTTCTGGCAGACTGTTTTAAGAAAAACAAAAGCAAAAAAATTCTGGATGTAAGGACTATGAAAAAGGGTATGCAGGTCAATGGGTATCTCAGTAGCAGGGGGATGGTTCAAATCAGGGAATCTTTCTTCGGACAAGAAAATCCAGTACCTGGTCTGCAGCCAGTAACGATCAGTAGTTCATCTTTATTATTGAATTCATTGCCGTAAATATAAACACAGTGATTACACAAAAATACTTCTACTCAAAATAATTATCTCTTTCTAAGAACACCAAAGATAGGCTTTCAAATTCAAGTTCAGCAGCGACAGCAATTTTAACACACCTTTTGATGCACATGAAAGAGTTACACATTATAACATAATTATCTTTGCGAAAATAAATACAACACTCAATCAATAGAAAATAACTGCTCTTGTGCCCAATGCATTGCAATGTAGTAATATATTGACCAGCTCAAAAGTGAAAAGAACAGGACCAGGTATGGAAACTGTTTTAGCATTTTTGATAGTGAAGAATTTCAAATAGGTTTATAACTCATTCAAAAGTAAAAAGAGTGTCCTCAAACCTAAAATAATAGCACCATGTAGATCTGCACCAAGGAGACATTGAGCCAATTGATTTTTACTGCAAAATTGATCAGGTTCACGGTCATTAAGCCGTGAGGAGAGAAAATTATAAATTACTAAAATAATTTTTTACTTCTTCTCTCTGCTGGACAATTTGAAGATAAGAAACTGCGAAATTTATCAACTTAACGGCAATGATAAAAATAAGTACCCAGTGGATTTAAGAAGTAGCATTATATAGTCTTTCCACATTTCATGCATTGGCTTGAAAATATCAAATCTGTAATCAAAGTGAACAAACTATTACGGAACAAAAAAATATCACAGAAAAGAAGAACCAATTAGAATAAAAGATGGAGTTTAAAACATTATTTGGTCATAGCATGAACCTAAAAGTCCCCAAACAAAAGCTGAAATGAAAGATTCCCCACGACAACAAACACTACAGCAATTGAAAAGCCATGGCTATAACAATAAGGATCCATGGGCTCCTAGAAAGTGTAGTTTAGAGACACTGAACTTACTTTTGGTACTCTTCAGGAAGATCTAATGATCCACAATTTTTATGCTGCTTCATAGACATGTGTTTCTTAGAGCGTTTTGAATGAATTCGCAAAGCCCTAGTTTGAGAACCAGAAGAAAGCACCCGCCCCTGCACATAATTATCAAGAAGGATCCAGTTGTCAATTTTCATGCTTCTAGATCCTTGCATGTACTTTTGGGCTGCATCTCCCTTTTGAAGAAGCTCGTGCAATATGCCATCAATTGAACCTCCTCCTTTTTGTGCAGAAAACTGCAGAATTTATGCCAATGGAGAACAAATTATATATTTTGGTTAATTTGGAATGGTAGCACATGCTTTTACATTGCAGCATTCCATGGTTGCTAATAGATTAAAAGGTTGCTTTTAAGATCCATAAATTATTACTTGCATCAATGATCGTTTTAGAGGAGACTTCAAAGAAGATTAATTATAAACTTTATAGAATTATAATGGAAAATTCGATCATAGAATGCCTTGATTAGAATTATTATTATTCTTTGCCATGACATGAGTTCCAAGCAAATAAATACCTCCTCGTTAATTGTGAGCAGATTTTCATTTACAGGCACAGAAAGTGGGGCATATGCTGGATCATCTTCAACGTCTGCAAACAAATACTAACTTCATCTTGTTCACGTAAACTCAATATATAATGTGCACAAATATCTCAACAAAAAATTGACAGTCTAGTACCTTGCAAAGTGGCATGACCAGAAAAACTGAAATTCCCTGGAGGGGAAAAGTGAAAATTATCAGCCAAATGTGAAGCAATATATTTACATATTGTAAGGCAGAATTCTTAAATTCTTAAATTAACCAAAAAAAACATAGAAAATAAAAAACCTATTTTGGGTGTTGAATGACACAGATTGGAATTAGAAAGTGAGGGAACATATGGTTTCCCATCTTCGTTTAAAATCTTTTTTGTTTTGTTTTCTTTTTGGAGAATTTCAACTTTAGCAACAGCAATTCTTCTCTCCAAAGCCTCTAATGTGCGTTTCCTCGAATCTGAAGCCATGCAAACGTAGTGATGTCGCTGGATGAATGAAACGAGAAGAGAGTCGACGTAGTCGATGAACAGATCTTCGCAGGCGGAACCTTCAGGGGAAAAGGGTTTTATTATTAATAATAGATTTATTTATTTTATAATATCAACATTAGTACTTAATTTTAAATTTTAAATTAAAGTATTTTTAAAATATATCTTTTTAATCATGTTACGTGCCTTCCTTCTTTTAGTTTAAAATTTGAATCTTAATACACTTTATTAAAATAAAAGTACGTAAATAAATTGATAAAATAATATTTATTTTAACGTGTGATTTCATGATTGAGTTCCACCTGCATCCCTACGACAACTTTAACATATAAAAATATCTTTTTTATACGAATTAAATTTTAGTATTAATTAATCTTAATTTAAATTTTTATCCACTACATAAACAAAAGATGATAAGTCCTAATTTTAATAATATATTTTCACATTTTATTCTTTAATTTTAAAATTTTTATATCTTTAATTTAATATTTTAAAATCATAAAATAATTGTTATTGATAACAATAAAAATTATTTTTATTTAAAAAATAATTTTATAATATAAAAAAAAGAACTTCCTAATATTTTTATAAATAAAAATTTATGAAATGTATTTATGATATAAAATAAAAAATATTTAGATTAAATAATGAATATTTTATTATATTAAATAAGACTAAAAATATCATATATTTTTGGTAAAAAAAATATCATACTTTTAAAATCAAGAAAGAAAATATTCAGAATTCAAATTAAGATTGAATAAAAATATTTTTTTTTATCTTTATTAATATAGTATATTAAAATTCAAATTTTAAAAAATAAATCAAAATTAACATTACAACATTTTTAAAAATAAGTTTACACAGAAAAAGAAGAAGAATATATATGATTTTATAATGAGTTAAATTTAAATTTAAAATTGAAATAAAAATGTAATTTAAAAAAATAAAAAAAATAAATATTCAATATAAAAAAAGTCACATAAACTAATAATAAAAAAGATCATTCTTAAAACATCTTTAATGTTTTAATTCAAATCAATTAAATTCATTTATTTCTAATTAGCAGTTTTGATATATGTTTACCTTTAAAGTCATCTTGAATGATTTAATTCAAATTAGTTAAATACATTTATTTCTAATTAATAGTTTTTATATATTCAAAAGGTGTCTTCATATTAATATTTATTTTAAATTTTATTATTAGAAATTAATAACTGATAAAATTATATAAAACTCTTACACTTTAAATTAAATTTATTATAAAAATAAAAACAAAAAATAATACCTTTAAGGCCGTCTTGAATGGTTTAATTCAAATCAGTTAAATGTATTTATTTTTAATTAGCAATTTTTATATATTCAAAAAGTGTATCCTTTGCGGCAGATTTGAACCTTAATATTAATGTTTATTTTAAATTTTATTATTAGAAATTAATAATTGATAAAATTACATAAAACTCTTGAAATTTAAATTAAGTTTATTATAAAAATAAAAACAAAAAAATTAGTAAAAAATAATATCTTAAAGTGAGAAAGAAATTATATTTTATTAGGTATGTATATTTATCTTTATATGTATAAAAGTAGATGAGTTTTGGAGGAGAATTTGCTTTGACTCTTTAACATAATAATCTTTATATAATAATTAATAATTACTAATTAAGGCCATCTTGAATGCTTTAATTCAAATCAATTAAATTCATTCATTTTTAATTAGCAGTTTTGATATATCTTTACCTTTAAAGTTGTCTTGAATGGTTTAATTCAAATTAGTTAAATGCATTTATTTCTAATTAGCAGTTTTTATATATTCAAAAAGTGTCTTCATATTAATGTTTATTTTAAATTTTATTATTAGAAATTAATAACTGATAAAATTATATAAAACTCTTACACTTTAAATTAAATTTATTATAAAAATAAAAACAAAAAATAGCACCTTTAAGGCCGTCTTGAATGATTTAATTCAAATCAGTTAAATACATTTATTTTTAATTAGAAATTTTTATATATTCAAAAAGTGCATCCTTTGCGGCAGATTTGAACCTTAATATTAATGTTTATTTTAAATTTTATTATTAAAAATTAATAATTGATAAAATTACATAAAACTCTTGAAATTTAAATTAAGTTTATTATAAAAATAAAAACAAAAAATCAGTAAAAAATAATATCTTAAAGTGAGAAAGAAATTGTATTTTATTAGGTATATATAAGGGAAAATACAGGTTGTTTGTTCGAAATAAAATTTTAAACTAAGATTCTTATAAAATGATGCCTACTATTTCAGTACTTTCTGAAATACGATCTGGAAAGGTGGGTTAGAAGATAATGGTTCGGATAATTCATTTGTGGTTCTCTCATGAGTTTTGAAATAAAACTCAAGTCAATCGCATGGACATGATTTTAGTCGATGAAAATGTGAAGTTTTTATATTTATTTAGTCGAAGTGCATACAATGGTTGATTTTTTAAAGAATGAAAATTTTAATGCTTTAACTATTATGATTATTCAATTATGTAAAATAAAACTATTTTGTGGTATGTTTCTTTATTTATATTGAACTCTTTTTAATTACGTGATAGTTATTATTATCAACAAATTATATTTCATGATTGTTTCAGGAATTTTAGGTATATCAAATGCTTATAATAGGACAAAGTTGTATCAATCCTAACATAAAAGAGGCTATTCATTACAAGAATAAGTAAGTATTTTAACTATTTTTTATTTATGGAGACATCATTATGTTTTGTATGATGTTTCCTGTTTTTGTTAACTTATAAGCTATCCAATTTGTGGTATAGGATAAATAGGAATGATGCAAGTATAAGTTATTAACAAATTATTTTTCATGATTGTTTCAGGAACTTTAGGCATATCAAATGCTTATAATAGACAAAATTGTATATCAATCCCAACATAAAAGAGGCTATTGATTACAAGAATAAGTAAGTATTTTAATTATTTTTTATTTATGGAGACATAATTATGTTTTGCATAATGTTTCCTGTTTTTGTTAACGTATAAGCTATATAATTTGTGGTATAGGATGAATATAAATGATGCAAGTATAAGTCAATTATTAAGTTAGATGTCTGGGTACTCTTCTGTTTCAATGGAAGATGATTTATTCCAAACTCAAAGCATGACCAAACATGAAATAATTGAGACAAATTATGTATGTTTTCTATTAAAATAATGAAGTGAAATGCATATAATTATTTTTAAATTATATAAAAGTCATAATTTGAAGTTTTTCTTTGAAAAGGTTGGGTTTGTTGTTGTTCTTGCCCAAGTTTTTGAAATTGAATATGAGAAGGGATGACAATATAACTCAAGTGTTTCAAGAAGTTAAAAAAAAAATGGACATAAGTTTTTTTGTAAAAATTATGAAAGATATATCATTCTTACTCTCACATTACTACTTATAAACTATATATTCAATTTAAAACTAATTTAGTTAAATTTATAGAATTTAAACTTTATAGAATTAAATTTATAATTTATAAATTTAAATTATATTTGAGTTTAATCTTTTTACTTTTAGAGTTAATTTACAAATATTTAAAAATATATTATAAATCTTTATATAATTTATGAAATTATTTTATCAGTAATTATATTAATATATACTAATTAATTTTAAATTTTAAAATAATTTAAATATTATCATAAATATTTTAGATAATTAATTTTTATTTTATAATTATTAATTATAATATTATACTGTAAACTAATATTAAAAAGAATAATTCTTAAAAAAATTATTTAAGAATTATAATTCATATTTAATATATAAAAATAGATGGTAAGTGTTGTTATTAAACAAGTCATCACTCAAGTATAGAATTTTAAGATGACTTAAATACAAATTATTCAGATAAAAATAATAATTTAACTATACAAGTTATTATAAACAAACAAATTATTAAATAACTTATTTTATGCATGTCAATCCATCCTTAGCTGAGATTGTTAAATATTATTATAATGTTCACATTTCACTGCAAGCCAAGTGATTAAATCCAAAATCTCAAAAAGGTAAATAAAGGTATTTAATATTTTAATAGAATCCAACTCAAATTATAATATTTAAAGTGTACATAAATTCTGAAAGTTTTGAGTTATCATTTCATCATTGTCCTTGATCTTGTTGATTTTATTTGATTGATGAATAGTTCTGTAGCTTCAACATAAGCTATCTTACTCACATGTCCGTGTAACATCTTGATGAGTAACATTTATAAGCTAAGAGCAGGGACTCGAGAAATTCGTTGGTTTGAATAGAATTAAATTGACAAATAAAATAAACTACATATGGGCACAAATTTATCATTAAGTTATACAGTAAAATTTCTTTAAAATAAATTTATCTCAGGACAAATAAGAGTATACTACTCTATCTAAGTAGGTAAGTTACCGAATAATCATTTTAATTTTGATCAATCATTTTAAATTTAATTCTTAATAAAATTGTATTAAAATTTAATTAAAAAAGTTATTGTACTTAGTGATTTTGTTGAGAAGTTCTTATTTTGATATGTTTTATAACTTATATTTATACACTTGAAGTTTATTTTATGAGTGCTTCACACTAATTTTATTGTTAATTTTTATAGTTAAACACAAGAGAATTATTAGTGGATTATGAACATATTTTGAGTAAAAATCAAATAAAAGCAGTTGAACTTATAAGCAAACATGACCGTACTTTTCACTCTTTATAGGTGTGCTCCGTATTCAAGCACGGTCGTGGTACTTTAATTTAGAATCAAATTTTAAAATTTAATTATTAAATTTTGGAAGTTTGGATCTAGATAAAATTCAGAAAATTTGAAGGAAGTTTCAACTAGGATTTTGAAGATTGGTAAAATCAATTTTCTTTTCCAAAGATAAAGTTTATCTGTCATTCCACATCCTATATAAAAAAGACTCATGCTCCTAATAGACGACTTTCTTCACCATCTTTCTTTTCTAGAATTCTGACTAATCCAACCATTTAGAGTTATTAGAAAGTGGAAGATTATTGGCAAAGACGACAAACATTCCTTTAAAATTCGAATAAGTAATTGAGTGCCTCTTGAAAAATGAGAACTCATTTCATCTTCTGTCCCTTTAGATTTCTTCAATTTAAATTCTACTTTGTGTTTTTATAGATTTATTTACAATGCTCTTTGTTGTTTATTTTATTATAAGTACCTAAATCTATAACTATAATTATGGTGGATCTTATTTCATCATCTATTTAATTTTTATATTTAATAAAAATGTTAGTTTTTCTTTAATATTTAGTTTTTATCCTATTGAATTAAATTTTACATATTAAAAATTAATCATCCTTAACATCTCATAATTAGTTACATCTAGTCGTACCACGTTTAATTAATAAAACTATAGAATAAAACAATACAAAGTAAAGATAAATCAAATTTAATTATTCTCTTCCAACTATTATTAAATTAACAAATTCATAAACTTCTTTTGAAACTATTCAGCAAGATCTAATATTCCACATTTTTTATGTTGCTTCGTAGACATGTTTCTTAGAGCATTTTGAATGAATTCACAAAGCCCTAGTTTGGGTTACTTTTTGTCAAATCTTTAGGTTTGTTTGCAAATGAAGGACTTAACATGTTCAAGACTGAAATGCAAATATCAAGAAACTACAAGAAAAATAAAAAACTAATCCGCACTTCTACAACCCCCGATATTTCTTGAATTAAATATCTGTACATTCTTTTTATGTATCAGACAAAGTAATTAAAATTAAACCAAAAAGAATAATTGAGGTCTCATTCATATATTATTATGGATGTGATAAATCACAAAATTCATAACAATATAATGTAGGGATTAAAAAAAATTTGGGTAAGGATTCTTTGAGATTCAAAAAAGGAACCGATACTTATTTCGATTTCGGATGAACGAAACCAATAGAATGAAATTCAAAAGTTCTACATCATGAACTATGTAACATGAACATCAACTTCAATTATATGGACCACGACGGAATGCTTCAACTTCGACCAATCAGCATGATTTGCTGTTTCCAAAATTATGCAAATTCAAAAAAGTATTTAATGCAAAATCAAACGTTCAAACCCGTTAGCACTTTCTCATTCTCAATAAGAAAAATTGATGCCTGTAAAATCGTTCAAAAGTTGAAGTAGCACAAAAATTCCCTGTCAGGCCATGAGCTTCTAACATTCTATTCTAACTTCTTTAGTCTCAAATCAGACCAAAGAGATCATTTTGAAAAAGCCAGAGCTAATAACAAAACGATAACCTATTGGCCTCTACCATTTTGAAGTAAATCGTTAAAATTATAATAACTAAACAAATTTTAGCTATTGGGAAATGACACTATCAGCAACAGAAGATACAGAAATTCTCCTCGCAGGACGAGAAGATTTCTTTACATAAGAGGAATTCCACTCCCCGCCATCTTGAGCATAGTAGTCCATCGGATAATCCCCACCAAAATCCCTGGTTCCCTTTGCATCACCGCAGCTACACTTAGAGCAAGAATCACTCTTCTTGCAACCTACAACATCATCACAACCCAGTTTTGGCACCACAGTTTTCTCCCACCAACCAGGTATCAATCCTAGTGCAATATCTGCCTCAAAAGGAGTAAGAACTGGTTTCACAAAAGCATCCCCCCAGTCAATTGACAACCTAGGACACGCAATCTGAATCCAAGCATCAACAGAGTCTTCGAAAAGAGCAATCCTCACAGGGCTTATCTCAGACATCAAAATCACAGTATAATCGAACCTTTTGTCCCTCATATTCTTCTCCAACCTCTCCAGAATCTTCGGATTCCCTTGCCTACCCAGAGTCCCCAAAACAACACCCCAAGTCCGAGCCTCCCCTGCTTTCAAAATCGCATTTTTTCTCGACTGTTTCATACCCACGTGATCATATTCCTCCAGAAACAACTTCCCCATATACGGGTCATACCTGAAAGCCTTAACCGCCGGATTCGCTATCATGAATGCCTCAAGGTGAAACCTTCCATCCGCTACGAACACCAAAACACTCTCACCACTATCATCATCGAGCAAATTCTTCGACACTTTCGGCGCAGTGCAGCCAAGAACTTCACCGGCCGAAAGCGGCTTCGATTGGGGGATCAAAACCCTAAATCCTAATTTCTCCAATTCGGGCTTTGCCGCCCGAATTGCAGAGGCAAACTGAATGGTACCGGCAACGACAAGGGTTTTGGCGCGGGATTCGAGGTTCAACCTGACGGTATCGACGAAATGGTCAACGTTGATTTTGATATCGACGAAGACGTAGAGGCAGGGGATGGTGGTGGAATCAATGGGGACGAGGCAGCTGTGGCCATAGTGAATGAGGAGATCGGCGCCGAGTGCGACGGCGGAGAAGTCGTCGACACAGCAGGCGCCGTAGGTGACATCGCCGAGGATGAAGCAGCGAGATACGGCAGCGAAGGTGGTGAAGATGTCGGAGAGAACGAGGGAGTACATGAGGAGGCCTTCAGGGAATTGGAGAGCGACGCGCTTAGCGCCGGTGGAGAGGACGCGCCAGACGCATTTGTGAACCTCGAAGTTGTAGTTGGATGGGAGAACGGATATGGCGGCATTGAGGAGAGGGTCGTTTAGGATTGAGTCAGGGATTTGGCTCTTAACGAAACGTTTAGGCCTTCCAGTTTTCGGAGCGTTGCTTGGTTTGTCAGATGTTTGGAGGGAAAGCTCTGCTTCTACCTTACCTTCCTTCAACTCCATCGACTTCTGCAACCCTTTCTGTTCCTCTTTCTCGTAGATACTAGATAAATATACAGATTCAGATTTACTAAACACTGTTTTTAATTAGTGTAAAATTGTAAATTACTTTATCTGTTATTACTAATTAGTAATATTGAATATTAATCAAATATATCATATTATTATTGTAAACTTTCAAAGTTTATAATAATATTTTTTATTAAATAAAATTTTAACTAACGAAAATAATTCTAATATTTAATATTTTTATCTGTTAATAAATTACTTTTTTAAGAAAATTAATCCATTAAAAGATTATAATTTTTAATTAAAAATTATAAAAGTACATTAATAATATTTTTAAAATATATATTTAATTTCTTAACCAATGGCATATCGTTTTCCTTAATTCTTACTTTTAGTTAGTTTTATGTTTGTGAAAGAACTGAAACACACTTACGCTTCTAATTTGATAAAAGATAAATAATTTTATGGGTAATGTTAACGAGTTTATAAAAAAATCAATTTAATTTTCATAAAATATTTATATTTAATATTATTACATATTATATAATAAATTTAAATTATCATAAGTAAACGAAGTTAGTAATAATTAAATTTTTGTTTTAAGAAAATTTGAGTTTATAAAAAATTAACTTTCTATGTTTTAAATATTCTTGATTGAAAAGGTTTTTTTTAAAGCCCAACAAGACACTTAACATTGGGTGGAGCCTGAGTAGAGTTAATCAAGAAATAACTAATATAAAAAAATTTAACAAAAAAATTAATTAAAAACATTTAAAGTAAAATATTATTATGACAAATAGGAAAAAAGAAAGGCCTTAGATACAAGGGAGAAATAAATTTTTATTCCCATGACGATCGGTTTGATAAAGCAGACTTTGAAAAAAAAAAATATATACAACACAGTGCACAACTATCTAATAAAAAAAAAAACACAATTAATTGTAATAAGATTTTACCATCAATTATAATTGGCTTCTATGATATTTGCATAATAATATTTAATAAATTTTTATAATAAATATAAGTTTGTCAACTAAATTGACTTCTATATAATTCAAATTAGAATATTTAACTAAATCTTTTCAAGTCAAGCATATACAAAATATGTTAATTAATTTATTTTATTTATGAAAAAAAAATCCCCAATTAACAATGTGATATTTAAATCAAAATCACATCTAAGTAAAAACAATTTTTTTCACCTCCAATTAATAGTTTATAGTAATTTTATCTTAATCTTACAGTATTATAAGTATATTTGAATTAACTTTTAAATTGTGATAAATCCACCTTTATTTTATTTTATTTTATTGCTACAAGTTACAAATTTTATATTAAATTTACGTTTACAAATTTTTTTAATATTTTCTCAGACATGCAAGTATCAGTTATGAAAAGAGAACCGTGTGTACATCATAAAATATAAAAATAAAATAAAAAATAAAAAATAAAAGATGGCCATATTCTAAAAAAGTGTTCTTGCAAAAATAAAAATCAATAAAATCATTAAAAAAAAAATGAGGACGTATAAATATAAAACCAGGTGGCTAGGTACGGTCCACGGTCCACATAATGTCCGGTAATTCCATATTTAAGAATATTTCACCAATAATTCCTAAAAATGCTTTAAGCAAGCCAAATAAAATTTTACAATATTCGTAAGAATTACAACAGAAAAGAATTGTTGAATTTCACGAAAAAAGCACAAGGGGCAAAGATCTTATGAATTCTGAGCCCAAACTGACGATTTAGAAGCCATCTCAAGCATTTTCATTCTATGGTAAACTTTAAATTAGAAAGATACTCTGTTATGGTACATGTGCTGAAATGCAAACAGTGGTGATAAGGCAAATGCATTAATTAACAACTGAATATGCGGTCTCCCCATCACATCTTGTTTCCCATACAAAAGGACACCGAATCAAAACCTGAAAGATGCACACGTTTAATTAGATAAATTAACCCAAAGTAGCATCGTAAATTCTACAACTCTTGTACCCGGATAACATTGGGCAAAAATCAGTGTTCAGAGATGTTCCCCTCAAATCAAACAGGACCTAGATGAAAGAAAAGTCGCACCATGATCAGCGCACCTTGGACAACGCCGATGCAATGCAAGCACAATGGATGGAGAATCATTGCACATGCAAGCATAGGCTCAAAAGACCCACCTGCACCAATAGTGAATGATCAACATGAAAGGTAACAATCCAAAGGATAGAAATTTTGAGCTATTAAAAGTTAATAAGAAGCAAAGCATCTTGAGTAACATTAGCTGATATGCACAAAAAATATTGCAAATAGTTTCATACATGCAAAAACACGGAGACAAAACAAAACAAAGAAACGATGGGTTGGACTTTCCCCAATAATACTCATACCTGTATGACAACGAATGGGTAAGAAAGGCAGACAATATGCGCAACATGTCCCAGATTGGGGCGCGAGATAAGAGTGTTTAACAGAGTCCCATTATGCCTTCACGTTGACTACCAAAAGTAGATTTACTCTTAGGTTGCAGAACTTTTAAAAAAAATAACTAAACAAAAACATCACTAAACAAATATCACCAAATTGCATGCTAAGAGATCTTATTATATACCACTAGTCAAGTCTATTCCAATTTAAACTGAGAAAAATAGTATCTATATCAGTTCTGAACCTAAAGAAATCTACCCACATATGATGACGGAGAAAACCATTTAATCCAACCATCCATCCAGCCAAGGATAACTCTACACCTACTGGGCTATAAGGAACAAAATAGAAAAACAAAAACTACTAAGCAGGACAGCCACATTTCCCCTTCCCAAGTAACATAAAGCTTATAAACAGCCACCATAATATAATTAGTAACACTAAGCTCAATTAGAATATGATCTTACCCTTACACAACAGAGTATTTGCCAGGTTGAGTTCCACCAGGAAGTTGCAAAGCCTGATTTGTGATATCTTCCAGTACACGTTTCAACTCTGCTTTAGCTCTCTTAACAGACTGCTCAGTAGGACCTTCAATGAATAAGTAGAGTTTGCGTTCCCCAGGTCCCGGGATTTTGCCAGGTGGGAAATACTGCCCCCTGGTGGTAATGGCAGCTCCAGTCCACTCAGAAATGGGGCCTAAAGTTTCCTTGTGTGTAACTTTCCACCGAGCATTCTGAGGGAAATCATTTATTTCCAACTCAGCCTCATAATGTTCTGGCAATGCTTCTGATTGTATTTTTGCTAAATTGTGTTGCAAGTTTATAGCAGCTAATGCTGCTCGGGCTGCCCCATCATTTGCAGCAAGGGGTAGCCCAGTTCCAGGCAAAACTGTTGCAGTCTGGAGACCAAGAACAGCTGGCAAAGAAACAGGCAATCCACCATTTGAAATCATCTGAGCAGCAGAGATGGGAGTAGGCAATGCAGGAGCACTCGCTTTAGTGGCAGCCAAAATCTGAGCAAGTGCAGGATGCTGTGAAATATCACCTCCAGCCTTCCTAATACCTTCATCTTCATCTTCAGAATCTGACTTGTCTTCTTCAAACCCATATTCCTTGGCTTGTGCTTTCTTTGCTGCTCTCCTCACCTCATCTTCCTCTTCATTAAATTTAAAGCCACTGCCTCCATAACCAGTCCCATGTGCTTGTTCCAGTCCTTGATTCACTTTTGCCATAAAGCTATCAGCAAGAGCTTTCAGATCATTGGGAACAATCTGCTCAGATAGTTCCAAGGCCTTCAACAGATCAGGTGCATATCTTGCCTCTTCCTCAGAAATAAATGTAATGGAACATCCCTTTCGGCCAGCTCGGCCAGTACGCCCAACACGATGAACATAATCTTCATAGTGGTTCGGAACATCAAAATTGATCACCAACTCAAGCTCCTTAACATCTAATCCCCGGGCAGCAACACTTGTTGCAACCAACAAACTGCATACATTGCTTTTAAAATCAGATATTGTGGATTCTCGGTCTGTCTGGTCCTTAGCCCCATGGAGAGAAAGGCATGGATAACCATGCCTGAGCAGATCCTTGAACAAACTATCACATTTTTCCTGTGAGTGGACAAATATCAAGATTTTTCCTTTCTCATACCATTCCCCCAATATTTCTAAGAGTCTAAGGAACCTCTCATTTTCTGGCCTCACCTCAACTAGCTGTGTTATGTCTTTGTTCACAACACTCCTTCCACCCACTTGTATTTCAACAGGTTTATTCAAAACCTTTCGAGCCAGAATTTCAACCTGACGGGGAAAAGTAGCAGAGAACAGAACCGTTTGTCGATCCGGCTGAATATTCTGAACAATTCGTGTGATCTGAGGTTCAAAGCCCATGTCAAACATTCGATCAGCCTCATCCATGACTAGATAAGTGACTCTACGCAAGTTAGTTATTTTTCCACTACTGGTGCATAGTATGTCAATCATCCTACCAGGAGTACAAACCACTATCTCAGCACCACGTTTCAACTCACTAATTTGTTGAGCAACACCAGAACCCCCATACACAGGCACACATCTGAGACCCATTACCTTAGTGAACTTTTTTATGTCACTGTGGATTTGCTGAACAAGTTCCCTTGTAGGAGCCATAATAAGCCCAATAGGTCCATCTCCTGCAACAACTGGTGGCTGATCCTTGATATGCCTCAGCATTGGCAGAACAAAAGCAAGTGTTTTGCCTGACCCAGTTTTAGCAATCCCTATGCAATCTCGACCACTCATGATTACAGGGAGTGCCTGAGCTTGAATAGGCATTGGCTTTTCAAAGTTCAACTTTTTTATTGTCTCCAAAATTTTGCTAGTAAGTCCAGTCTGGTGCCATGATTTTATAGGCTTTGGCACATCCTTTCCATGTATCTTCAACTCCAACTGCTTCCTGTATACTGCAGCTTCTTCAGGAGTCATCTTTGAGATCTCCTTCACTTCAATATAAAAAATTTTCTTGAATGGCTTATAATCAATCTTTGAGTGATCAACTAAAGAAAGCTTCTCAGCTTTTGTCTTCTTCACTCTTTTCATGAACTCATCATCATCCTCATCCAATGGATCTTTCTCGATTTCAAGATCTGCATAATCTGAGTCAGACTCTTCACCAGGAATTATTCTGCCAATAGACTTATTTGAACCTTTCCTAGACTGTGCACCACGACTATGCTCATCCCCTTTATCTTTGGATTTCAAATCAACATCTTTATCAGAAACTGATGATGTCACAGCATTGTTCAGCTTTTCAACTTCAGGTAGAACCATAGAATTCATGAAAGCATCCAATGGATCAATTTCCTCATCTGCAGGAGCACCAGCAGTTCCATCCTGTAAATCAGATGCAACTGTCCCATTATCAACATCTGCCACCATCAAATCTCTAGGTTCTTGATCAGCAGGTTTGTCATCCTCATCTACATCCATAGCTGCATCCTGCTTCCCAGTACCCGATCCTTCTTCATCATCAGATTCCCCTTCAAGCGTCCAGGTCTTTCCAGACTCAGGTTCATTAGCACTTGCTTCACCATGCTTTTCTCTTTCGGCTTCTTCCTTCTTCCTCCTTAGTTCTTGCCACTCTTGAACTCTCCTCCTCCGCTTTTCCATTTCTTCATCCAACCTCCTTTGTTCATCCTCCATCTCCTCTTCACGAGAAGGTTTTCTCTCTTCGTCTTTGGTATCTGAGTCATCTCCACCATTTTTTTTTCTTGGACTTGCTTCTTGCTCCTCTAATTGCCTGTTTGGCTTGCTGAGACTCTTTTCCCTCTCTCTCCTCTTGTAATCATCATCCTCTTTCCTATGCCGCTTCCTATCTCTCTCCTTGGATTCACCATCACTGTAATCACTATCAACTTCCCTACGCTTCTCTCTCTCTCGTGCTCTCCTCCCCCTTTCTCTTTCCTTTTCCTTCTCCCTCTCGTGATCCCTCCTTTCCCTCTCCCTCTCTCTCTCTCTCTCTCTGCTCCTCTCCTTATCCTCTTTTCTTCCCCTCTCTCTTTCTTTCTCCCTTATTCTGTCTGTTCTCTCTCTTTCCCTGTCTTCCCTCTCCCTTTCCCTTTCCCTTTCCCTTTCCCTTTTCTTGTCTCGAGCTCTTTCCCTGTCCACATCCTGAAGTCGTGTCCTATCCTTATCTTTATCTTTGCGCTTCTCCCTGTCTCTATCATACATGTCTTCAGAATCAGTACTCTTCTCTCTTTCATGTCGTCGGGACTCACGGTCCCTCTTCTCCCTATCCCTGTGCCTCCCATCACTTCTATCCTTACCCCTATCACGATCTCGATCACGGTGATTCTTCTTAGAATCCCCTTCTTTCACTTCATAATCTTCCTTCCTTGATTTATGCTTTCCCTCATCCATTGCTTTCTCCTGCAAACCCACATCTATGTGTCAGTGATGATACCATCCTGCATACACAGTATTTCTAAACCCTAGAAGACAAACTCATTCAAGATGCACGCTGATGCATATTCAATGTAAGGTTAGACTGCTTCAAAGCAATTAAGCACAACAAATACTTTACAAAAAGGGAAAAGCATATACAATAAGAATATATTGTCGCATCAATGCAAATCAATACATTAAAACAGAGCGTATCAACTAACACGGTGAAGCATCCGGCAGAAACAGACCTAACAGGAATTTTAAACCGTAAACTAGGGATTCAAATTCGCATGATAGAGTCGACCACAATAGAACACGAAAACCAATTGCAATTGAAATGCATGAGTAAATGAGAAACAAAAGCATAGTGTTGCAATGAAGATAGAAGTGTAAACCTCGCGACGCGGCTTCAAAATCGGAACGATAGAGAGAAAGAAACGGATTTCTGAGACGCGACTTGGCGTAGATGCCAAGCTCGTGAGCTAGGGCACTCCCTCGCTGCGGCAGCGAACAAACCACAACGGAACTACTTTCTGTGTCCCAAAGCAAAAACACAAAAACGATATAACATGTGATAAACAGTGAATTATGGATCCCGTTTAAGTTAGCGTCACTATTGACAAAGATTTTGCTGCTAATTGTCTAATACAATTAAATATTTTTTAAAACATAAAAAAGGAAGTGAATATCATTATAATTTATTATTTATTATTTTTAAAATTTATTATCATTTGTGTAAAATAATAGATATTTTAAATTTTTGTAAGAAGATATAATTTTATTAGTAAAGTTCTCTTGACGATAATAATTCTAAAAGTTTAAAATTTACTTCTATTGCAATTGATTACCATTGAATAATAGTGTTAGAAATACCAATATTTGTCAAAAATATTCAATTGAACGTGCCTTTCAATTTTTAATAAATATTTTTAAAAAATTGCATATTTTAAAGTTTGACATTATTATGTAAAAAAAGTCCTTATTAATATTTTATTTTTTTATCTCAAAAACAAAATAACTTAATCTAAAAATAAGATAATAGTTTGTTTCTTAGGTAGTCATTTTAAATAATAATTTAATTTTTCTTTGTTAATATTTTTTGGTTAGATCTTTTAATTTAAAGCCTTAATATTTTAATGTTATGTTTTCGTATTTGTGATTTTTTTTCATCAAACTTTTCTTTAAAATTTTGTTAGAGACTTCAGAGTAAGGTGAATAATTAATTATATTACTTGAACAATTAAAACTTCCATTATATACTAGTAAATATACTTGTGCATTGCACAAATTTATATAAATATATTTATATTTTTTATTAATTAATTTAATTTATAAATAATTATAATTTATATAATAATTATTTTTAATATAATATAAAATATAAAATATAAAATTTGATTTTTTTCAATAAATTATATATAAAAATAAATAATAATTACATTTAATTTTTATGTAACTTTAAATATTCCAAATTTTAATAATAATAATTTAATTATAAATTAGTAAATATATTTTTGTGTTGTACAAATTTGTTTATATTTTTATTAAATTATTTTATTTTAAAATAATAAAAACTTATAATTTAAATATAAAAACATATAATAATAAAATTTTATTATAGTAAATAACATCAAATATAATTACATTGAAAAATATAATAAATATATTTTTATATATAAATATTTTTGTATATTTTATATATTTTTTATCTTTTTCAATAATAAAAATTGTTATTCTTTTAATTGATGTAAACATAAAAAATAAATTTTTAAAAATAAATTAAAGAAAACATGAAAATAAAAATAAACAGTAAATTTTTTAAATTATTTTTAAATATAAATAATGTAAATATATTATATTATTATTGTTATTTAATATTTTAAAATGAAAATAAAAATACATAAAAAAGAACTATATCCGTTAGAAATATAATAAAAAAATATTTTTAATAAGCAATGAGGTTTAGTATTAAGATCCATTTGAATGAAATCTACTTTTTATTTTTTAAGAATTGAAATAAATATTAACATAAATTTATTTAATAAATTATGTATAAATTATTAATTTATGATTTTAAAATAAAATATTTAAATTTAACTTATAATAAGTAAATGTATACTAATAATTAATGCTTTTAATTTATAATATTTTTTAACTTTTAAATTAGTATTAATTTTAAGAGTATGATATAAATAATTATATTAATACAAAAATATATATTTATCTTACTTTATATTTTAAGTATGATTTGGTTTATAAATGGAAAATGAATTGTAAGTTTATTACTGATTGAATAATTCAAAACAAATTTTAAAAGCATTCAAAATTTAATTTTAATTTAAAAAAAATTAATAATCACATATTTAGAATATAAAATATTAATATTAAAAATATTAAAAAAATATTTTTACAATATTTTAAAAATTAATTTATATCTTTATTTGATTGTAGATTTTTTTTTATATAATTGTAAGAGAAATATTTGAAATGTGAATGAAATATTAAAAATTTGAAGAGCTTTGATTCACTATTAAAACAAATTATATATATATATATATATATATAATAAATATAACATTCAAATTTAATTTATATTTAAAATATTTAATTTATTTATTTATTCATTTATTATAGTATAAAAATATTAAATATGCAAATCCAACAACTACAATAATATATTACCTTTTCATTATAACAATATTTAATATTATTTAATTTATTTTAATTATTAAAATTAATTATTTTTATTCTAAAATTTAAAGTCATAATTATTAATATAATATTTAAAAACAAATAACACCACTCTTAAAATTTAATTAATAAATCATTTTAGTTAAAAGATGAATAAGAAAAAAAATTATAAGAACTTTTAAATTATCATATTATTGTTTGATTTTGTCATAATCAAAATTTTATATAAATTTTTTAAAATTTTCATACTTAAAAAAAATTAAAAATCTTTTAATATTAATATTTTCAATAGTATGTACATAATTTAAATTTTAATGTTAAAATAAAAATATACAATTCAAAATTTAGTTAAGAAAATGAAAGTGTTATTAATAGTTACTATAATAGAAAAAATTAATATTATTTATATACCCGAATAAATTGATAAAATGAGTCTAATTTGATATGTTAATATTTCCATAAATTTTTGTTGATTTAAATGTAAAAATAAAAAATCACATATAATACATACTTGAAACAAATTTAATCAGATAAAAATAAAATATAATACATGATTTTAAAAAAATATAATTTTATATTTATTCAATAAATAAAAATATATCTTTATATAATTTACTGTAACAAAATTTTATATTTATATATATATATATATATTTGCTTGAATAATTGACTCTTAAAAAAATACATTATTGCAATACACAAATATAAAATAATATGATATAAAAAAACTATTGAAAATTTTTCAAGAGTTATTTAAGAATTACTTATTATATAGGTAAAGATAAAAATATGTTTAGTAAGTATGTAATTTTTGTGAGTGTGTAATTTTTTTATTTAAAATATATGTTAATTTTTAATACACACTTTTAAACGCTAAATATGTTAAATTAATTAATAAAATTATTTAAGTTAATACCATTTAAATTTAAATAAGACATAAAATAACTTATATGATTTTATATTCAATAAAATAGTAACTCAATAGGTTGGTTAATTTTTCTCAAATTTATTTTTGTATGATTTTTTAAGTAATTTTTTTTTATTTTCAAAATTTATGGTGAGCTTTTTTTCCTTTTTTATATATAATCAAATTTAGTTTTCTATTAAATGCAATTTATGGATAATTTGTTATTTCCATTTTTAACATTGTATTATTATCTATGTAAAATTTTTTATATATAATTAATTTTAATATTTTTTTTAAATACAATTCAAATATAATAATTATGAATCATTTATAATTTAAATTCCTAAAATTTATAAAATATTATAATTAATTTCAATAATTTTTTATTAAATGTAATTTATTGTTAATTTGTTGTTTTTATTTCTAATATACACTAACATCCATTTTGATAATATATGTGACTAGAATTATATGTGACTTTAAGTATTCCAAAGTTTTCAATAAATTTTTATTAAATACATTTCATGATTAATTTGTTGTTCTATTTTTAACATGTACAATCATTCATACTGATCATTCGTATTACTAACATTATATGTAATTTTGAATATTCTAAAGTTTAATAAATATAAATGTTATTGTAAAGTAATAAGTAGGTGTAATCAATTTTATATAAATTAATTTATATATTTTAATTAAATTTAATTATAAAATATATTTTATGAATGAAAGACTCGAGTTCCTTTTGGATTTTCTTCTTGATCAATGACAACCACAACATTATCATCATACTTAATTAGTATAACGTTGCTATGTTTGAGTTTTTTACAAGTATGTATAAGCTCTGATCACTTTTGATTTTTCTAAGATCATATTTGGTATTGCTTTAATTACATTTTTTTTTATTATTAGTATGTTTCAAATTTCTTTAAGAAGTATATTTATAAAATGAGATTTTATTATTTTTTAAATATACTTATAAATATTAAAATATAACATATATGATATGTTAACTCTATGATATAATTTTAGATAATATTTATACTATTGTAGATGAATTTAATTAAAAAAATATTGATAAATTTGATATAATTTAATCAATTAAAAATAAAATTTAATACATGATATTACTTAAAAATAATATATTTTTATACTTACTCAAAAAATTAAAATAAAAAATATCAATATAATTTAATAAAAAAATAAAAAATATCAATATTAACAATATATATATATATATATATATATATTTAATTAGATAGATAATTCTTAACATTGACATAAATACAGAAATAAAGTAAAATGATAGAAAAACTTTTAGAAAGTTTTTAAAAGTTGTGTATAATAAAAAAAATTTATTTGTATTATAATTTATTTATTTTTATCTTAAATATAATTTAATAATTACAACATAAAACAATAATTTAAGAATATATAATATAAAATAATAATTTAAATCAATATATTCAAATTTGAATATAAGATACAATTTCATTTTTTATTAACATAACACTTGAGTTATTAGCAAAAAAAGAAAAAAAAAACATATCACTTGAGAACTTCATTCAATTTTTATAAATTTTTTTATGTAATTTAATTAATATTTTTCTTTTTTAATATTTCATAATAAATTTTATTTTATTTTTAATATTTAATAAATTTAAATAATTTTTATTAAATATCACTTATAGTAAATTTGTTATTGTCTTTTTTTAAAAATGTATAACCATCTATATAGAATTTTTATATAAATTTTCTTTAAATACAATTTAAAGATAATAATTATGAATCAATGATAATTTTAATTCACAAGTTATGTAAAATATTATAATTAATTTCAATAAATAGTTATTAAATATAATTCATAGTTAATGTTATTTTCGTTTATGACATTATCAGTATTTATTTTGACTATCCATATTATTAATCATGTAAACGAATCTAAATATTTTAAATTTTAATATTATAATTTTATTATAAATATATATATATATATATATAATAATAATAATAATAAGTAAGTAGAGGGTAATATTTTATTTCTAATAATACAACGTTTATATTAATAATAATGTAATGTAATTGATTTTAAATTTTCTAAATCTTTATAATTATAAATTTTAATATGTAATAGGTAATTATAATTACATATAAGTGATTCTAAACATTTTAAAGTTTAATAATCTTAAATTTATTGTAAATATATACAATAATAAATAGTCTGTAGATATGTGGGCTAAATTGCTCGATTTTAGAAGTCAGGTCAAATTGACATTGACATCACCTGGGGTCTCCAACAAAGTTTGAGGCAATTTGCATTTTACCTCATGGAAAGAACATCATTAGGAACTTCATTCTCCAAATCTAATTCAGTACTACCATTCCCCGAAAATAGAATTTATGCATTGGTACACTTTCTGTCAAATGAAATATCATTTTCAGAGTGTTCTTTACACATTAGGAATCGTCTGCTTAAGTTCATAAATTATAGATGCAGAGGCCAAAGGTGGAAGTAAAAGGCATACCTCGACTAACTGCTGATTTTCTGCCACCAAAATACCAGCAAAAATCAAATATACTAATGTAACAGCTTTCACAGCATATTTTGTACAGATTAATTTTAAGAAAAACAGTCATTTTATTTTCGAAGGCTCTCTCAAAAAAGTGGTGAAAAATGAGTTTTTTTTTTTCAAAAATAAACTAATCCAAACAAATATTGATAGATGATGATAATGCTTTCTACGCAAGATTAACTTTTCATTGCCTCACAAACCCAACATCTGAGAAATCTGTACGTACGGGGCAGCAAAATGACTTCATGTACCTTCTGTTTATCTAGTTACAGAATGAATTTGGATCTATACTTCATATTCATCCTCAAAATTAACAATAAATCGAATAAGATTTCTCTCATGTTGGAAAGAAACAAGACATAACCAACAAATTGTTGTGCTACCACTAAGGTTATTGTTCTCATAAAATAATGTACATGTAAGCTACGATTTTCTCTCCACACTGCTATTCAACAAAGCCGCATTATTAGCTGCTTTTAAAGGTGGCCTATTAATCTTCTCAAGTAATCTACTAAATACTAACTTGACTGGTATGCAAGCAACCGTAGTGAGCCCAGAGACCTCCGGTTTAATCAATCTATTAGTTTGATAAAAACTTCTATCATATAATGGCTTTTTACCGAGATTATTTTCAATAGATAATGAGGATAGCGTTCTAGTTTTCTGACTGGATGACAAGCTCACTTTCTTTGGCAACTTTTTAAAGGACTTCATTGAAGGCCCAGGACTGCTAAGGCCACTCCTCCTCAAAAGGCTTGCCTTATGACTGGAATTTCCACTATTTAATTTCTTGTAGTCAATATTTCTTTCTTGATCTATGGAAAAATCTGCATCAGTCTCAGCACCATTAGATGACAATATATGAGGACGAGGAACACGAAAATTAGCTGTTCTCCTTGCAGTCTTCCAAACTGGTGGAAGTACACTACTTGCCTCAAAGCCAATCCCATCGTTACTAAGGTCATCAATCGCAGAAAAAATATTATCAGATGAACCATCCTTAAGTGCTTCAATTTGGATTGGGTGCCCTATTATTGACTTCCCATCTAACTTACTCGTGATAGAAACAATGGGGACAGGTGCTTTTCGATAGCTTGCTTGAACCTTCAAGTCCACATCTACCAGAATCGAGCCCATCCTTCCATCAAACTGATAATGATCACCATATAGCGGAGCAAGCCCTTTAACATCCCAAAATCCTCTCAGAGAAGACTGATCCTCCCAAGCCCATTCATCCCAATCAACACCATGACGAATTCTATTTGGACCTTTTGCTAGTGCTTTAGAAGTTGGGGCATATTCATCTTCCAACCCAAACATCTGATCAGTGTCATCAAAAACATCACTGATATCATTTCCATAGTAATATAAACTAGGCTCCAATCTCTTGTGGTTTATGCGGTTTCTTTGTCCTTCAACACCTGTTCCATATAAAACAGCACTTTTCCTATCAGCAGCTCCAACAGACCTTTTTACAAGATTACGATGATTCCTTTTTCCTTTTAACTTCCATTTGGATACAGCTTCATTATATGCTACTTGTTCACGAGGATAGAGGTGAGGCATGTCACTAGAAATTGCCAACTCATCAGGTTCCTCACTGCTAGTGCTTTCTTGTTCTTCAGCATCATGACCAGTTCCTGAAGTTACATTTACATCAGAAGTGTGAAAAAAAGATGGTTTTGAAACAGAACTAAAACCAACAGACTAACACGAGACTCAAAAAATCAGAAATATTCACTAGGAGTAAAAGAATAATGAGACCCATAAAGTGAGGCATAGTTAAAAAAAGAGGGAAAAAAATAATTACATATGGATTTAAATTGATTGACAAATACAAAATCCTAATGACAAAGTTACGGCAACAACAATCAAGCCTTATCCTACCAGGTGAAGTAAGTTATATGGATCACATAGCTACATCAAAAGTTATTCTAGAAGATAGACAGAAAGAAAGAGGGAGAGAAAAGGGCAGGTAGTGCCACATCATAAACTATGTATGACTTTCAAATTCAAACTACTAAATTGGGTTAGCTTTAACGCATAATCCACAGTCAATAATGTCTAAGCCTTTTAAGGCACTGTCCTCAGATATTCAAAGGGGCTGGAGCACTGATTCATTGATCGAGATAACATGTTTCCTAATCTTCCAGTTCCATACTTATTTTCTCAATTAATTAATCCTTCATGCTTCAAAACAAGCATGGAAGGAGAATAGCTATTTTAATATGAGAAATTGTCAGAAAAACAGAGCATATTGACCAATTTGTTACAATTGAAAGAGAAAAGATGGGGATTATTTATGATTAACGCAGCTGATTATAGTAAACATTAATTCTAATGATTGATTGTTGTTGAGATCCTAACATTAATTATAGATATGGCTAAAGTAGAGCTTATAAAAGCTTGGGCAATCCTCACTTCGTAAGTTAGTTTTTAAGGTTGAGTTTAGGTCTAGCCTAAATTCAAGAATAGCTAACCAAGAATTTACAAGGAAAAAATGCATTCAAATTGCAGAAATTAAGGAAATAAATCTGTACAGAATAAAAAGAGATGGTGGAAAGAAATCAATCAGTAATTAAGCAACATAACAGTTACCAAAATCTTTTGTTGCCACAATATTAGTTCTAATACATTGACCAGAACCAGTTATTGGAGTATCACTACATGACATTAGAAGACGCACACAATTATCATCCACAAGTCCACATGGAACATTTGAAAAATGGGATCAGTAGACTTTGTTGCAAGTCCACAGCAACATTTAAAAATTTCAACTATTTCATCAAAATTTAAGTGGCCAAATACTTCACACATTAAGAAAAATATATCCTAAGGCTTTGTTTGGGAGTTGGTTTTTGGGGGGGGAAAGGAGGGAAGGAGAAGGCTTATGTGATGGTTATCATTGTTTGGGAGTTTTTAGACGAGAGGGGGAAGATTTATAAAACCTTCAAAACCCTCCTAATCATATGTTAAGTTTCCCCAATTTGGAGGGTTTTGTATGAACCCTCCTTCTTCCTCTCTTCCCCTCTCCTCCCTTACTTTTCAAACTCTTTCCTTCTCCCTCCCTCCAAACTCTCAAACAAAGCCAGGTTTGAGACACACTATCATCCAGTCAAAACTTAAAGATAAATGATGATGAGAATTACTTCGGATCTCAGTTTGATGTCCTAGGCCATAGCAATGCAGGTTGCTCATACATTAAAATTGATCGATTGTGACTCTTTTTCTTCAGATGTTTGAGTGCTTCACATACATATTGGAAGCAGTTGTTTCCCAATCCAAGGAGAGAGGATCTTAAAAATCTTATAACTATATTCCAGGATATATTGGGCAATCTAGGAAATGCTAGGGACTTTTGAAACCATCATAATAAATATAGGAAGCAAAATCATTTACTGATTTCATCAGAAGAAATGGAAAACATAAAGGAGGGAAGGGTGGTGGGTGGGAGGAATCATCATATTGCATGAGTAGTGAGTTGCCTCAGATAAACAAGCATATATTGGAATAATAAATAGATCACAACAGGCATACACTTTTTTTTTTCTTTTTCAAGTTGTCACCACTAGATCATGTTGTTAAGATAAGGATGGGATAAGATATGTATAGTACAAACTAAACCTGAAAGTATAGTCATCTCTTCATCCTTTTCTAGTTCTATTTCAGAAGAATCTGAATCCGAATTAGCAGAACCAGTTTCAGATGAATCAGATTCAACCTCATCATCCATAAAAGCAGATTCACTCTCTTCAGCCAGAGAACTGCAATAAGCATACTCCCCTCCAAGTTGGGGAGCTGAAATTGCAACATTGGCTGAAGTCTCCTTGTTATCCAGCGAATCACTAGACTCTGGAGGGAAATACCCACATCTGCTCCTCTTTGCTCGGTAAGCTACACCTACTTGTCCTGCTCCTGAAAACAGAACCACAATCAGGTTATAAGGTATCCCTAATTTTCACAAGTTTTAAAAAAAAAAAATACCCCACTTTATTGATTTTCTTTTTGCTCAACTGCTCGTCTACTTTTTCTTTTTCTAAATGATTTTACCATTAGCTTGAATTGTGCTCCCTATGCAAAGAACCACTACTTGATAGAGTCAGAGCACTATCATCAACTACTAGTTTGTGAAAAAACATTCGGATCATCAGAAGATGAGAGCTTCCCTCTCAAAAGGTAGCTGTGCGCCCAAAGTCCTGCAACCCTCTTCACCAAGATGTTGCATGTGATTTTGTTTTATCATGGTCATTTCTAAATGTTACTGGTTCTGAAGATGTGAGTAAGGCCTTCCTTCCTAACAGTATTATATGATCTAAAATTGGTTTAGTCAGAAGCAATACCTAATTTTTCTTGCTTCTTCAACATTTGCCTCTCGAGTTCAAGAGCATGGAGAATAGCATCCTCTCTGCGTGCATATTTCTCTCTTTTCTTTAACGGCATACCCTGGGAAGACTCCGCCCTTTCAATACATCCATCAAATTCACCACATCGGAACGCCTTCACACGCTTGGATTTCTCCAAATTGTACCAATCTCTGTCAAAAAAATACCAAGCCACAAGAGGAAAATCACAAAAAAACACTAACAACCATCAAGAAGGTTGATAGAGCAGCACATTAATACACAGAGTAACGAATGTTGATAACTTTCTGACTCAAAAAGTTAAAGCCATTCCACAAATGTACAATTAGTCACAGACACTTCAACAGAACAGTTTTGCTGAGCTGATATTAACTTAACAGAACAGTCTATAATCAAAGAAAGCATGAAGTGAATTGAAACCAGATATGAAATATTGAATTTCAACAATTAATAATTGATTTAAAAAAAATAAACAAGTACTTACACGCTGGCATCTTCCCTACCAAGAAGTTTAACGGGAGTTCCAGAACGAGGTGAGGTGAGATGAGAAGCAGAAAGGTCATCGGGGCCAAGAATTTGACCCGGCCACCACGAACCGTTCCTTCTTCGAACCCATACAATGGATCCAACAACTGCACCTGACCCCGAACTCTCCATCTCCCCCACTCTCCTTTTCACTTTCTTTCGCTTCCCCAGTTTCTCGCTTTTACTTTCCCTATTTCCTTCTTAAAGATGAACGGACACGGTGGCTCAGTCGCCGGCGAAGAAAAACGATGAACGGAGGTTCCGGGAACCGTCGTAAGTGGATAGTCCGATAAGGGGAAGTGGGTTAGGGCATAGGATTCCATTCAGATTTGGGGAAATTTCATTTTTAGGGTTTTCAATTTTGACTTTGAAGAATTAAAATTCCGACACAAAAAAGGTTTGAATCTTCTAGAAGCATCTGAATTTCAATAGGATTTGGTTGCACAATTTTTGAATGTAACACACGTAATGCGTGACTTTAAATGCGGCACCTTAGTTATACTGGTGAATAATTAAATTATCTTGAGTAATGGTAAAATACTTTTAAAAATACGAACTTAATAAAAAAATTATACTTTATAATCTTAAACATATTTTTACATGCAAAACTTAATACAATTACCAAGGAATTGGATTAAATATTAGAAAAAAATATTTTTAATTTTTATACATTTATTTAAAATTATTTCTATCAAATCAGAAAAAAAATACTATAATTTTTTTAAATTTAAATTTTAATATATATATATAATTATTTAAAATTAAATAATTTTAATAAAAATTAATCAATTTAATAACTCTTTATAAATATTATTTTTTACCAATTTAATTGTTAAACAAGATGATATATTTCTATTAATTATACATATTAAATTTTAAAAATATAATACATTTTTAAATATATACATAAGTAGTTAATAATTCAGATAATGCATAAGTATTTTTATCTTAAAGCAAATATATATTTAAATAATTATATATAATTTATTTTAAATAATTTTTTTAAAAAATTAACCTGATTATATAGTTACAAATAATATATACCAAAATAATAAATATTAAATAAAATTATAGTAATTTTTTAAATATAATTTATTTTAAATAATATTTTTACAATACAGTGTCAATAATATATATATATATATATATATATATATATATATTAATAATTAAAAATTTAAGAGATAAGGATTTTAAAAATAAATTTTAAATTAAAAAATATAACAAAATTGATATTGTATAATTTTAAGTACAATAAAACTTATATGTAAGTATGATTGAAAAAATATCTTAAAATATAATATTTAAGAACAATATAAATTTAAAGAAATGATGGAAGTGATAAATTTTTTGTATTATAATAAAAAGACTAAACTGTTATTTTGGTCTTCAAGAGATTTTATACCTTACACTTTAGTCCTTAACAAATTTAAAATGTCATTTTAGTTCATGACTTTTATTTTCATCGTGCATTTAAGTCCCTAAACTCGGACGGTGTTAATAGATAGTAACAAAATGCTGACATGTCACGTTAATTGACACTTGTCGTTACTTACGTGGTAAAACAACATTGATACATCATGTTAAGTGACATGTATTATTGATTACGTGGCAAAAATGACGTCTTATGTGGTATAGTATACATTTTTGTTTTATTTTAGTCATTGAAATTATAACTCGTTAGACATTTTAATCCCTAAGATTGTCACTGACAAGTATTTTAGTCCCTGAGATTGTCACCGACAAATATTTTAGTCCTTAAGAGAGAGAAAGAGAAGAAGGGTGATGGAGGTTCTATTGAAAAAGAATTTGGTGAAGGAGATGATAGAGAAGGTTTATGTGGAGCTGCATTTGCAAGATGTTTGGTGACATTGTAAGAAGAAGAATGGAAGGGAAAGCAAGAGGAATTAGAGTTCTTACACTTATCAAATGATCAAAAAGTCATATTAAAATCTTTATTGTTGTCCTAACCTATTGTAAACTACAATATCATCAAAATGAGTCACTACTCTTTAGAACCCAATGCATCATTTTTAAGTCACACCATGTAATAGATTACCCTCAAACCAATAACAACTTCATCACTTACAACTCAAGATTTTGTGCTCAAGTGAAGCCCAAATACTGGTATGAATGTATACATATATAAAAAGGAAAATTACGAAGAAAAAGATTGTGTAATCACATTCACACAAGAGAAAGCTAAAGAGGATGTGAAGGAAAGATATGAATATAAAAGCAAAACAAACCTAGAAAGCAACGAGTTATAATCTTAAGGATTAAAATATTTGTCGGTGACAATCTGAGGGACTAAAATACTAGTTGGTGACAATTTCAAGGACTAAAATGCCTGATGAGTTATAATCTCAGACTAAAATGAAACAAAAACATATATTATACCACATACGACGTCGTTTTTGTCACGTAATCAATGACACGTGTCACTTAACATGACATGTCAGTATTTTGTTACTCTTTATTAACGGCATCTGGGTTTAGAGACTTAAATACACGATGAAGATGAAAGTCATGGACTAACGTGACATTTTAAATTTTTTAGGGACTAAAGTCCAAGGTGCAAACTCTCTTGGAAACTAAAATGACAGTTTAGTCTAATAAAAAATATGTATTTTTCTTCCTTTCCGTTGATTAATTTTTTCATTGTTTCAAGTTTAATATTTGAGTTCTATTTACGAATGTTATGCTCTTTCTAAATGTTTTGTTTATTATTATATTTGCATGTTACTTATATATATATATATATATATATATAAATAAAAATAGAAATTTGAATAGAATTTAAGAAGGTTTTATTTAGTGTGGTTAGTCTTTTATCTAATCAAATTAAGTATTCAATTCATATTTTTCTTTGCTATATTATAAGATTTATAATTTCTTTCATTGTTTGTTAATAGTATATACTAAATATTGTCACTATTTTTAGAAATTTCTATGAGTTAATATATGAGATTATTACATTTTTGTGTTGAAAAACAAAGTTGATATTTGAGAGTTTAAACAATGCTTACCTTATTTATAGATAAAGATAAAAATAGGCTAGGCCGTCTAACATGGGCCTACGGCCTAGCCTTTATAAAGCCTAACCTAGCCTATTTAATTAATAGGCTTAATTTAGACTTTTAAAAAGTTTAATTAATTAAATAGGTTAGACTTGAACTTAAGAAAAAACCTATTAAGCTTATTAGAATAGTCTATTTAAAATTTATAATAATATATTAAATAGTTTTATATAAAAATTATAATATAATAATATATTAAATTAATTAAATTTTAAAATAATAAAATTTTAAACTAAAAATCATAAATTAAAAATTTTAATCCTTTTTGTTATAGTTAAAGAAGGTCTATACTACATACCTTCTGATAGTTTATTTAGATATAAGTTATATGAATTTTAAAAAGATATACCTATTTAAATGGTTTAATAGCCTATTTACAAGAAAGCTTAATGACCTATTGAATCTCTTAATATGAAGTAGGCCGTTAAAAAGGCTAACAGGTCAAATCAAACATTTAAAAAGGTCAGACTAGGCTTAATAAAAAGCCTATAATAGATAATAGGTCATGTTCTTGTTAAGGATACACTTGTCTTCCTTGCTTTCTCTTTCTCTACCTTCTATTAGTGTCCTTGGTACGACAAGAATGAATATTCCAAATCCTCTTGTTATGGCATGGGAGTACCTGTAAAAGACACTCCAATAAAGTCAGATGTCAGTCTAGGTAATAAATGATATTTATTATTCATAAGTCAACCTTTACTTGTACCTCTTACTTTCCTTTTATAGGCAATATATTAGGTAATGAGTTTCATAGTTTAGCCTTGTCTTTAGTCTTTTGATTATTTAGGTAATTAACTTTTTCTTTAATGATTATCTATTTTAGTCTCTTTAATCATCTTTATCGTGACTGGAGAAATGTTCGCCGTTAAGTTGGATTGAATAGGTATTTAGATTCTTTTTTCCGTTGTAATGACGGAGTAGTATTTTATCCAGTACACTTGCCCCCAAGTCCGAGGAGGTATGATGTAAGGGCTTTTTATTAGATTTGTCAGCTACTTTTTACTCTTCTTATATGATTTTCAGCCGTATAAGCTGAATTGGCATGAATAGTAGGGCTGAAGTGTTAGGTCGAGATGGTATTCAGATTTCTGTTTGTGAGAATGACCGAATCATCCAGTGCCATCTTGACCCCAAGCCTAAAGAAAGATGTTTTGATATTTTTGAGGTTTCAACAGACTAAGGTTGCATCCATTTTTAGGGTTTCATCGTAGGTCGTGCCATGAAATGAAAGGTTGCTCTCTGTTGGCTGTTCAACAAAATTAGGGTTTTCTTAGAGTTTGTGCTCTGAAATGAAAGGTTGCAGTTCGTAACCATTGATCACAAGCCTAAAGACAAGATCTAATGGTTACAAAGAGGGATGACTCTTCAACTACCTGAATCCCTATGCTTTATAAAAAGGGAGGTGGTCCAGACATTATGTATGCTCTTGCTCTGCATCTAGGGGTCTACTCTGCTTAAATTGTTCAAGTATTCTACACTTGAATTTTAAGGTACGTTTGCTTTGCCGTTACCTTCTTTGTCTTTTTTCTCTTAGTCTCGTGGGTATGGATACTACAATGGAATGGGAGGATCCTATATCGGATAAATCGAGATCGGATTCCAAACCTGTTAATGAGGTAGGGAAGGTGGTTGAGACCGAAGGGGTGTAGGATATTACGTCATGACTAACTAGTGGTGGGGGTGATCCTAACGACACTGTTAGGAACTCTAGAGATGAAGCTGAGTCGTCTAACACCGAAAGAGTGAATTCTGAATCAGGTGAATCTCTTCGAAACGCTAGTCCTCCTAGGGGATTGGGCTAATGGGCTTCATGGTTTAGCCTTGTCTTTAGCCTTCTGATTATTTAAGTGATTAACCTTTTTCTTTAATAATTATCTATTTTAGTCTCTTTAATCATCTTTATCATGACTGGAGGAATATTTGTCGTTAGGTTGAATCAAATAGGTATTTGGATTCTTTTTTTCTGTTGTAATGACCGAGTAGTGCTTTATTCAGTACAGGTCAAGCTCAGGCTTCAAAATTATTAATCAGCCCAGGCCTATTTTTGCAAAGCCTAACCTAACCTAACCTATTTTCATCCCTATCCATGGATGTAAAAGGTTGACATCCATTATGAAAGAAAAAAGGTTTTCATTTTAATTTTTTTTGTTTAAGTTATACCTCTTTTAAGGCCATTATATATGCTACATGATGATGGTCAATTGTTTGAAGTTGAGGAAGAATTTTCTTTGAAGCATTTATTACAAGTGTGACAAATGTATAAAAAAACATAAATTATTAATAATATGTGATATTATTTATATATTATTTATTTAATTGATGTTTACAAAAGGGTATTTTTTTTATAGTAAAATTTTCAATATGTTTTAGATGTTATTCTAATTTTTTTA